CCCAGCAAACTACGAACTTGACTTGAGAGGGCGACCACCGAGATAAACAAACTAAACAAAGAAGGGCGCGGGAGCCCGCCCAGGTCAAGGGTCTCCCCGATATCTTTTCTCAACAAAAAAGTGAAAGTAGGTGAAAAAAATTCTAACATCATCGCAGCCCACTTGGTTTTCTTTCCCGCGGAGCGGCATACGGAAAAAAAATCAAGAAAAAAAGGCGAGGAGAAGATAGGCAGCTTGACCCCTCGAGGAGATGATACCTCTTTTTTTTTTTAATAGCTATATTCTGCCAAAAACTTTCTCCATTAGTATTTGGGTGAAACTAAAAGCAAAGCTGGTACGACGGTAACCTTAGATAAAAGCAAGCTCTCGTTTAGGTTCTTAACAACTATTTGGGTCGTAACCTTTTGGAATTTTTTTTGGGGATATATTATTTCTTGTTCCATATATATTTTCTTTAGACATAAATGTAATTTCTTGTTCTTTCTTTCTTATTGAAAATATATATATATATTTGGTAACTTTTTATTATATTTATTTATTATTATTTTTTTATCTTTCAAATCTTAAATTAGAAAACGCAGTGTTTTTCTTGAAAAATATATTTTTTTTTAAATAAAACGTTCAAAATTATTATTGTTATGTTATTATTTTTCTTTTTAGAGACAAAGATTCTCTACCTCGTACCAAAATATTTTGAATTCAATCAAAATAAAAATCAATTTTTTTTAGTACAACATGAAGATTGAGATTCGAACTTATCAACTTTAGGTTGGAGATAGGTGAATTATTTTAACCAGTTGATCATCACATATATATATATTCCTTGAAAATGGAATCAGTTACAAAATTGTTATATATAATTGTGAAACATTGTTGTTAATTATAAGCGATGAGTTTAAATTAATTAGTTACAAATAATCAACTAATAATTTTAGTTAAATAATTAACTACAATTAATTAATTATTGAAAATAATGCTTCTACAAAAATAATTTAATTGAATGAATTTAACATACTCTATTATTATTTACTATGATTCTTTTTTACATTACTATATATTGATCCATAAAAATGATTTTTTTTCGGTTGATCAAATACATAGCAAAAGTAAGGAAACGAGGAAAAAAATAATCTTTCCAGTTAAAATACAACACTAACTATCTAGAAGCTTACTCGAGTCTCCACATATCTCTCTTAAATATATTAACTCAAGAAATATCTTAGCTTAGGCTCGAATTCTAAGGAATTTCTTTGGATAAGAATACGTTAAGAAGTATCTACGATACTTTATAGAGATCTAGTACAATTTATTTACTTGGGCTTCAAGAACAATTCTTCTATAAATAAGAGAGATGTCTCCACGGGCGAATGAAGTGAAGAGAGTGAATCAAGTATTTGTGTAATGAGTGAAGAAAGTATGGAAAGTTAAAGAGTGAGAGAGCTTTTATCTTTCTTCAAAAAATATGTGAGGGTGGGGATCGAACTCACAACCTCTTGATTTTTTGGCAAGCGATAACTCTAATTCAAATCAGAAGGTCGAAAAAGCAAAAGAAATAATATGGTAGTGGCACAGAAAACCACTAGGCCAAACATTATTTTCTTTTTAATATGATATACTATATTCTATTTAATTAAAATCCGGGGGCATGTGCCCGGTCTCCACGCGGATTCACCCCATCACACGTAGGTTTGTTTCCTTCCATCTCTATATTATGTGACATGTAATTGTGTCAAGCTTGTTGAATAGTTTTTGGTTGAACTACCAATTTAGTCGATAACCGACTTCAGGGCAGATCTATAGTAGGCCAACTAATGGCTCTAGCACCCTCAACTTTATGAAATACATTATATTACATATATAATAATAGACTTATTCAATTAATAAAATCTTTAGCTCAACTGGTTAAGACACCTATCTCTCACAAAAATATCATGAGTTGAATCTCGACCCCACATATTTGTTGCTCAATTTGTTAGACTTTTTTTAAAAGTTAAATTGCAAGTTTAGTCCTCTGATTTTAAAAAAATTATCCAATAGATCCTTAAACTTCTAATTTTGTGTTTAATAAGTTAATCTATTAAACATTTTTTAAAATTAAAACGGTTGTATAACATATTTTCAGCTATATAAAACCCTCCATAAGTGGCCACTTTGTCCTCCATCCCACCACCTCCACATCTTATTTCTGTGTGGAAGGGAAATTATGGAATCCATTAACAAAACGATGGCTAAGGGAAGTTCTTCAATTGGAACCAATATTCTTCCTGATAAGTTAAGAGCTTCTTTGCATTTGGATCATCCCACTGTTGAATGGAGGTATGGGAAGCCCCCCTCTTATGAAGCTGCTAATAAGCTCTTTGAAGAGGGAAGAACCAAGGTTTTGTTAATTTTTTTTACTTCCTATTTCTTCACTAATTCTCTCTCATAATATTAATTAATCATCATGATCTGTTACTTAATTTGTTTTGTTTTAATGGAAGGTGTGGCCAAAAGGATCTCTGGAAGAAAAAGTACAAAATGCTGCAAAATCATGGCAAATGGAGATGAACCACAAGACTAGATTACAGGATTTCAAGACCATAAACCTTCAGAAATTCATGCTTTATGTCAATGGTAATCTAGCTTAATCTGGTTTAATTTGTTTGTTACATATAAATATATTGATGTCATTAATTAAATTTAGGTTAAATATATGTTGTTTAATTTTAGTCTCTAATGTGTTTTTGGACATTATTTTCCTTTTGGTCCCTTAATATTTAAAATGTTTCAAATTTAGTCTTTTACATTTTAAAGTTTTTAATTAAATTATATAATTTCCTCATTAGTATGAATGTTAAAAATTAGTTGAGGTTAACTTTACATGTATAATGCTTGGTTGAATTAGGTTAGGTATAATATGAGAGGGAATGAATTCAAACCCCACAATGACCACCTACTTATGAATTAGTAATTCCTATGTATTTCTCGGTATCAAATGTTGTAAGATTAGGCGGTTATCCCGTGAGATTAGTCGAGGTGCGCGTATCTGGCCCTGACACTCACAAATATATATATAAAAAAAAGTATAATATAGTGATGTCAATTTCCTATTAAACTATATTAATAGGTAGGAAATTAATTCTCGCAGCTTACGCACAGGGCTAAATATTCCTCATAAACAAATATAAAATTCACTAGTTTCGTTTGGGTTCGAGATGGTTTTACCATTCAAATAATTAGGTTAAGTCTAAAATATCATAAAAATCCAACCCAACCCAATCCGTAAACACGGTGAACGATAGATAATTTTGCAACTCGCGCTAAATTGATCTCCAAAAAAACTCAAATATTCTTTTAATCTCTCTCTTGGCATGCATAGGAAGAGATGAGGGGCTGTCTGGAGAAGAAATAGTGAAGATTGGATCCTTCAATGCAATGCTGAAGAGTTCTCTGCCAGAAGAGTTTCAGTATTTCAATACAGAGAAAGAGAAAATTGAATCATCCCATCAAGAATTTAAGACTTGTTTTCCAAGAGGATTTGCATGGGAAGTTATGGAGGTTTATTCAGGCCCTCCTTTGATTGCTTTGAAGTTTAGGCATTGGGGTTTCTTTGAAGGGCCTTTCAAAGGCCATTCCCCCACCGGTGAATTGATCCAATTCTTTGGTATGGTAACTTTCAAGGTAATTAAAGTTTAGATCTAACTTCATTTAGTTTATAAAAAAACTTTTACATTTAGACCAAACATTAATTGAATATGATATGTCTAATCACAGCTTTAGTCCTTTTGGAAAAATTTTAAATCACTTTAAATTCTCAATCGCTAAGGGTAAGAGTGCACGTTTGGTTGATAATTAGAAAAACAGAAATTTGAAAATAATGGATTCAATGAAAATCAAAATTGTAATTTTTTTTTAAGTATTTTCAGATATGTGTTTGGTAGCAGATTTGGTAATTGAATCTTAATTTTAAAAATTATTGAATGTGTGTTTAGTAATATATTTGTAAACTAGAGGTAGTTACAAACTAAATTTTAGTTTAATCTAAACTTATATTAATTGATTTATTAACATTTATTTTATGAATTTTGTATAATTATTATTTTGCTGTTTTAATTTTAACTAACATAAAATGAGTTTATAATATGAATTAATATATTTATCAAACTTTTTATCATTTTTAATGTAATTTTGCATTTTAAAATTTTCAAATTATGAATCTCAAAACACTGAAAACATAAAAAAGTGGTTTTAAGAATTTCTACCATTTGGATCACAGAATCCGAAAATAGTTTTAAAAAACGAATCACTAAAATTATATCAAACTCGTATTCGCTGAATCAATTTGATTAGGTGAATCTGAAAACAAAAAATTAACAGAATCCAAGTTTCCAACCAAGCCCTAACTTTTTTATAAGAGGAACCACCTTGTTTGAGAGTGATGGTAGGATGAGTGATTTTGAAAAAATAGATTTAAGTATAATTGATTTTTGAAAATCACCATTCAAGTGATGTTAAAAATTAGTTTAAAGTAATTTTAGGGTGTATTTGGGAGTGACGAAGAAGGAGTGATTTGAAAAAGGAGATTTGATTACAATTGATTTTCCAAAATCATTATCCAAGTATATCTTAAAAATCAATTTAAAACTGATTTTAAATTTTCTTAAATTCAAWTTTTTAGGAAAGTGATTTTGACAATGAAAAAAGTGATACTAGCCAAAATCACTCYCAAACATACMTTTTTTTAAAAATCAATTTGTCAAACATGATCAATGGAAAGGAAGTAAATTTTACAATGACGAAAGTGATTCTGGTCAATTCAATGGTGTTTTTGGGAGTGATGGTAGAATTAGTGATTTTGAAAAAARGTATTTGAATGTAATTAGTAATACTTTAAAAATCAATTTAAAGTGATTTAAACTTTCCTAAAATCAATTTTCTAATTYGTCAAACATGAYAATGAAAAGGAAAGTTGTATTTTGGCAGGCACTCTTAAATAGGCATACATACAAAAAGAGGAGGCCTAGAGATAAAACCTCAATCACTCACTTGCGAGTTGAATCTTTACCAAGTAATTAACTATGAATCACTCAAAGAAATAACCTTATTTTTAACTCARTAATTTGATGATTCYAATTAAAATCACTTTTTGAAACGAGACATTACTCATCTAAAATCACTTTTACTATTAAAAAGCAAGCACTTCCAAACTATGGTAGAATGCAAGGAAAATGAAACTGTTGAAAATCGAATCCTTTATATCGAAGAAATATGTGTATACTTCTAAAACCTCTTTTATTTTTTTTATTTTTTTACGTTCCTCACRTACTCCTTTAATGAAATGGTATCTCTTTTTTTAAAAAAAGAAATATATATATACTATATGGACAGGTAGATTCGTCGATGGGTCTCGAAGAAGCTCACTTCTACTACGATCCAGGAGAGCTATTTGGAGCACTTTTAAAGGCCAAAAAAACCCCAAAAAAATGACAAAGATTCAGCTGCCTCTGCCTGCCCATTCTCCAAACTCAAAAACTAGGTTTAAAAAAGTAAAAAAAGTTGGCCTGAAATATATGCTATGTATTTACCTATCTGTAATTTCTATCTACCCAATTATGTCTTTACCTTTCTCTCTGTACATACAAATATATATGCTTAAATAAAAATTGGGTTTCTTCTAGCTATATTCAACCATTTCTGTTGGTTTTAATTGTTTACTTAAATTAAAGTATCAAGGTAGGTAGTACTACTACTACACTACTAGGAAACATGATATATGTATAAGTTATCGGTTTAGACGTTTATGTGTCGTGCTGCTTGTATTATTTAATTAGGATTTATGTGGTGTGAGATGATATTTCGAGTAATTTCAGGCATTTTTTGTTGTTGCAAACACTAACGTTAACACCGACTGAAACAATTTGATTCGACTTAAAAAGGAAAGCTTGAAATTACAATTAAGTTGCCTTTCAATCAAATACCACGAGGTATGAGAATTGGTACTTAACTAAACGTCGATAATATTTTACAAGATCGGTGGCCAACCAAAACTTAAACCGTTCAAAACATGCACGCTCAAAGTAGCCACACAGCAATTGTAAGAAAACAATGCACAATTTCTATTTCATCAATAAGTTTGTTGTACTTGTAACAAGAACATCTTTGGCTTTAAATAGGCTTGAAGGTGACAGAAAAATGAAAGTATTAATCCAAGAAAAGATTCTCTAAAACAATAAAAATATACTCCTAAAGATAAGAGACCTAATTACTGTTAAGGATCCCACCTTGGAAAAATAAGAGATCTAATAAAGTTTTATAATAGATACGGACTACTTCTCTCGTTGCCAATTAATTTTGAGATGAAAGGAAAAGAGAGACTTTTCTTATTGTCTGAGTTAACAACTTTTTATTGTCCTTTGCCAATCATCAACCTCCAAATAGATTGAATTCATATTCTAATAACACTCTTTATAATACACATATCAATTGATAAATTAGATGGTTCGATATAATTGATAACAAAATGTTAATAAGATTGTTGTGTTTGATATTGCAAAACGTGTCATTAGATTTCCTTGAAAATAGAATCAGTTCGAGAAATATTATATATAATTTTGACGCATTAGTATTAGTTTTTCTCACATACTTATTAATGAAATGGTCGGTAAAAAAAGAAGTATTAGTTATAAATGATAACGATAAGTATAAATTAATTGGTTACAAATAATTAATGAATAATTTGGATTGAACAATTAACTAGCATTATTTTTTATTTATTTATTTTTTTGGAGACAAAATTAACTAGTATTATTAAAAATAATTCATCTACTCAATTATTTAATTGAATTAGTTTCAATTACTCTATTATTAGTTACATAATTTATTAATAGTTTGAATAAATAATCAGTTTCATTAATTTACTATAATTTATCGATAATGAATTAAATAATTTGTCAATCAACCGTTCATATTATTGACTTTTTTTTAGTACGGGGTGGGGGATCGAACTCACAACCACCGCTAATCTATGCTCACTTTGGCGCTCGATATTATTGGTTTATTAGCTATTACAATGCAATAATTATTTAACTAATATTAACGCATTATTATCGATCTAACTATCTTAAATATATTCATTTAAATTAATGTTAATATAAATTGATCAATTATAAATTCTATCCAAAGAGATTTTGAAATTTAAATTAATTAAAAAATATAAAAAATATAGAGAAGAAAAAGATAGAGAGAGAAAAAAAAGAGAGAGGAGAAATCCTTGGATTTTAAGGATTAGAAAATTGAGATGTGGGTCTCATAATAAAAACGAGAAGGTATTTATATAATTACAAAAGACAACATCAATGGGATTTTGAGGGGGAATTTTCTCAAGATAAAATCAAGATTTTGAAAAATAAAATATAAACAAATAATATTTTACTAAAACGAAATCTAAAGCATAAACTCTAAACAAATTTTAATTTTTCGTCATTTTTACTACTGAGGTATGCAACTCTATTTTTACTCTCTGTCACAATTCATTTTTATTAACCTATATGAATATAGTTTAATGAGAATAGTATTTAATTCTTTTCTTGAGGTTCGAATCTTCACCTCCATAGTTGCAGTAGTAAAAAACTTTGAAAAATTCTCTCAAATGAATCAAATTATATATGATATTTCACAAATGTCTATTTATTTGTTTATTTATTTTTCTAAATTTTGGAAATCTAGATTTTCAAGATTTAAATATATATATTTTTTAAATTGTTGCTAGGGTTAAAGATCTCACATGGATAAAAGAATGACCTTACACAAGTTTATAATAGACATGCGCTACTCATCTGATCGTCAATTGGTTTTGAGATGAAACCATGAATATTGACAAACCATTGTTAGGTCCCTCCCTTTTCTATAAATCATAAAACTTTCAAAATTCGACTATTTTTCTTCTGTATATTCTTTAATTTTAATTATGCAGAGTCTAGAGAAATCAAAATTTTGTACCATAATCGTCTGAAGTACATTTATTTTTTCTTGTATGAGATTATTTTGAACATAATAGTTACTAAAAAAATCCCCTCGATAAAAATTCTAGATCGCGACTAACTGGTTAGACATTCTTTAAAAGTTAAATTACAAGTTTACTCCTTTAACTTTAAAAAGTATTTAATATGCTCTTAAACTTTCAATTTTATATTTAATAGGTCTTTGTGGGGATCGCAACGGAGCGGGGCGGGGCAAGGTCAGGGAGCCAGCCTATCCCCGCCTCGTTGGGGAATTTTTCCCCATCTCCACCCTCGAAGGGGGAACCCGTCCCCGAATAAATTTTTTTTTTCATTTGTGCTTGGATTTTTTTAATTTAAAAAGTATTTATTAAAATTAATATATTAATATTATTATATATAAAAATTAATAAAATATTAGAGGGTCGGAGATGGGGACGGGGCGGGGAGACATTCCCCCATCTCGTCGGGACCCCAATTAGGATCCCGGTTTGACTCCGTTCCCGATCAAACCGGGGATTCCCTGACCCGATCGTGTCATATATCCATAGGGATCGAATTTGTAGGTTTTTTTGCCATCCCTGGGTCCCTACTCTATTAAACATTTTTAAAATTTCAAGACTTCCTATGACATATTTTGCAGCTATAAAACCCCCATAAGTGGCCACTTTGTCCTCCACCCCCGCCACCATTACATCTTGTATTTTGTTGATCATCAAGAAGGAAATTATGGAATCCATTAACAAAGCGATGGCTAAGGGAAGTTCTTCGATTGGAACCAATATTCTTCCTGATAAGTTCAGAGCTTCTTTGCATTTGGAGCATCCCACTGTTGAATGGAGGTATGGGAAGCCCCCCTCTTATGAAGCTGCTAATAAGCTCTTTGAAGAGGGAAGGACCCAGGTTAGTTAAACCCATTTGGTAACATTTTCGTTTTTTGTTTCTCGTATCCAATTTTATTAAGAAATCTAAACATTTGACAACAATTTTTTTTATTTTTTTAGAAACATACTCGAAATTATATATAAGTTTTGAAAACAACAAAAACAAGTTACTTCGGACCCGTTTGGAGTAAGGTTCCATTTCTTGTTGTTCGTTTCCAATTTTCTTAAAAAATCTAAGCATTTTTTTAACTAAATATATTTCTTGATTCTCATTTTTTCTGTTGGAACATTATCAAAATTTGAAATTTTGGAAACAACCAAAACAAGTTTTCTTTTCCATTTCCAATTTGTTTCAAAACATAAAAAAAAAAAATTGTCTTTATTAAACTTGAATTAACGGATGTTGAGGTCATGCAATTTATTTTGCTTTGTTATAAATGAAGAAACAACTTTATCAAACTGCTGTTTGGTAAGAATCCCCTTTCTTATTTTTTGTTTCTAGATTTTGCAATTAACTATGTTTTTGTTTCTCCTTTCTTCTTTCTGGTTCTCATTCCTAATTTGTTCCAAAACATAAATAAAAAATTGTTTAATTATAATAGATGTTTGGGGCCATGCAATTCATTTTTCTTGATTATAGAAACATGACCAAACGAGCCCTTAATTGTTTCTTGTTCCCGTCTCCAATTTATTCCAAAACATAAATAAAAGTACTATGTAATCATTCTTGAATCATGGATATTGGGGCTATAGAATTCTAGAGAAAATAGAACAAAAAATGTGAATGTTATCAAACAAGTCCTCTTTTAACTTTTTAAAGTTCTTTTCTTCAAACTAATCATCTGTTAGTTTAATTTGTTTTGTGTTTTATGGTAGGTGTGGCCAAAAGGATCTCTGGAAGAAACAGTGCAAAATACTGTAAAATCATGGCAATCGGAGATTAACAACAAGACTAGATTACAGGATTTCAAGACTATAAACCCTGAGAAATTCATGCTTTATGTCAATGGTAAATCTAGTTTGGTTTAATTTGTTTGTTACATATAAATGTTAAATGTATGTATGTAATTAAATGGGGTGAAATATATGTTTTAGTCTCTAATGTTTTTTTTGGACGTTTTTTTTTTATTTAGTCTATAATGTTCGAGAAGTTTTAAATTTAGTCTTTTATAGTTTAACATTTCTTCAGCTATCTGTATACTTTTTGGAGCAGGGAATTCATAACTTTTTTTTTCGAGTCCAACAATTGTAGTGTAGAGGGTGGAAGATAGATCCAACCATCGATGCCCTTACTCTTGAATTATGCTCAGATCAATAAGTCTTCAAGAAATTAAAACTCACAAATATTAATTCAAATAAGACAAATTCCCATAGCCCATGCATGAGGTAGGTATTCATCACATACGAATATAAAATTCACTTATCATTTAGGTTAGAAAACTCTACGACCCGAACGATTAAAAATGATTCTAAAATATCCCAAAATCCAACTCAACAAAATCAAAAACCTCACTCTTCAACACCTTCAAAAATAGCATTTGTGTTTCTCAACCACATCGATCACTTTTTTTGTGAGAGTCTCGCCGCTCCCCGCTAACATGACAGCACCATGTATTATGGAGCAACGCTATTGGCGCTATCTTGAGGAACATTTGGCTAGAGCACCACAACCGAATTTTTGTTGATTCATCAAAATCGCTTCTCAATCTTTAGGAGGATATAAAGATCTCTGAATCTTTTTGGTGTTCAAAATCCCCCAACTTTTGTAATTATGACGTGACTTGCAATTTTCTCTGTTTGTGGTATATGTAGGAAGGGAGGGGATATCAGGAGAAGATTTACTGAGGATGGGGACCTTCAATGCATTGCTGAAGAGTTCTCTGCCTGAGGAGTTTGTGCATTTCAAAGCAGAGGAAGAGACATTTGAATCAGCTCATAAAGAATTTAATACTTGTTTTCCAAGAGGGTTTGCATGGGAAGTTACAGAAGTTTATTCAGCTCCTCCTTTGATTGCCTTCAAGTTTAGGCATTGGGGTTACTTTGAAGGGCCTTACAAAGGCCATTCCCCCACTGGTGAATTGATTCAATTCTTTGGTATGATGACTCTCGAGGTAAAGTTTGAGACCAAACTTGTCTAAATTTAAACTGCGAGTAGGTGAGTTTTGGGTTCGAGTGATTAATTGGGAATCACAGAGGAAATAACTATTGTTTTTAAGTCATTTTTTTTCAGTCACATGAATCCTCGAAAATCAGTTTTAGTTACATGAAAATTACTGTCCTCGAGGGGCAGCTCAGTCGGCAAGAGTTTAGGGTCTCTTGATTATACTAGCTTAAAGGTCTAAGTTTGAACCTTCTCGGAAGCTTATACCAACAACTCTTGATGTCTTCTAGCTAGATCTGGACCTTGGATGGATACGAGTACCTCCAAGTATAGGAGAACAAAACTTAAAATGATCTACTTTTAAATACTTTTACAAAATCACTTGTATTTGTCAGAGAGTGTAGTTAAAGTTAAGTGTTTTCAATGGGAAACCCAAGCTTGAAAACACTTTAAAATGTGTACCTAATATACCATGAAAATATTTACATTTTTATTTCAAACAATAGAGTGGCTAACACACCTGTAGTTATGGCGAGCAAACTCGGGGTTGGATGGGAACGCCTCCCACCCATGTTCAAGACCCGAGGGGTGTATTTTGGGTGGGGTTTCCACCCGATATCCAGGTCGAGTCCTCTACCGTTGGCTACAGTGTGGTGGTATACGTAGCTACCACCAACTGGCAAAACTACACAACATCGATTCCCGTCGAGTGGACTAGTCGAATACCATGAAATATTTGACAAAATATTTTAAATGGGTTGGAAAACACTTCTGGAAATACATTTCTAAACTATAAACAATGCAAGAAAATGAAGGGTGTGTGTGAAAACTATTGAAATTAAAATCATTAATTTTTTGAAAGGATTTCTAATATTTGGACAGGTAGATTCATTGATGAGGGCCGAAGAAGTTCACATCTACTATGATCCAGGAGAGCTATTTGGAGCACTTTTAAAGGCCAAAAAAACCCCCAAAAATGACAAAGATTCAGCTGCTTCAGATGCCTCTGCCTGCCCATTCTCCCAACTCAAAAATTAGGTTTAAAAAAAAAATAAAGCTGGTCTGAAATATATGTTATGTAACGTAACCTATCAGTAATTTCTATCTGCTAAATAATGTCTTTATCTTGTCTAAACTGAGCTGCAGTAATTAACATATATCTTAAATCAAGAGGTTGTGAGTTCAATCTCCCACCTCGACATCTTGTACTAAAAAAAATTAATAATGTCTCGCCTTCGCTCTGTACATACAAAAATATATATGCCTAAATAAAAACTGGGTTTTTCTTATGGGCTTTTAAGTTAATTATATATCCACAACAAAGATCATATCTAACCACTTCCTCAGACATCAGAGCACTGTTCAATTTGCTCAGCTGTTGAACTTTTATTGATAAATTTAATTAGGATGGGCTTTTTTCTAAACTATATTTCAAGTTTCAACCATTTCTGTTATGGTTTAATTGTTTACTTAAATGAAAGTATCATAAAGGGAGAATTATATAGGTAATGTGTCGTGTTGCTGGTATTATTTCTTAGGATTTATATAGTGTGAAATGATATTTCGAGTAAATTCAGGCATTTTGTGGCAAAACACATCAAAATTGAAATTTAAAGTGATACGTCAACATATTAGTGAATTGGTGTAGGCAACACTTTACAGTTATGTGTGTACCTTCAAAACAGTAACATTAACACTAAATAATTTGATTCAACCCTAAGGTCGGATAAAGTGAGAGGGAATAGGTTCGAACTCTAGAAATGACCTATCTTAAGAATTAATTCCGATGTATTTTTAATTCTCAATATTTATATTATACAAAGTCAAATGGAAGAATTGACATAGAGAATTTTATTGTCATTAATTAGACAAAGAGATAATCACGGTATGAAAAATTTTTGAGTTAAATCAAAAGCAAAGACATGTGTTATCTATCATAAGTACAAGGGTAAGACATGTAACTTCTTTTTTGAAGAAAGGGATTAAAATTTTCACCCTCCACATTTGTTGTACTAAAATGATTTGAAAGAAAATCTATTTAAATCCTTATGTGACAAACAATATTGGAGGTGATTTCTCAACTCACGTGTGGCATGCGTCGATTGGATACTCAGAAGCATGTGACTTCTCCTTCTAGAAGCCTAAAGTTTTCTTACCTCAGTCATAATTCCTCATGCTGAGCCAATCCCTTAAACGACCGAGTCCACCAAATAGTTCCAGACTATATTCTAAATCTGAAACAATCTAACTTCTAAAAAAAATATTTAAGTTCTAGCGGGTGATAACCTATCCTGTCTTGACCACCATTTGATAATTAAGGGAGAAAAATGTAAAAATAGAATATTTTTTTCTTAAATAAATTAAATGAGATGTCAATTTTCAATGGTAGTCAGAATAGATATAGGTCTTCATGAGTGAGAACCTATATATTTTCCATTCCATAACGACTAAATTTGAAGTGAAATGTCCTATGATTTTTGGAACGTTTTGTATCATATTTGGAGGGATGAGAGAGGGTTAAATGGTAGGGGAAGAAGGAGGAAAGATAGCAACGACATCTAATCGACGAACAACACAAAGGTAAGAGGTTGGCACAATAGAGCAGCAGATGTACTGGATAGAAAAAGAGACGAAAAAGGAAAGTTTTGATGTGCACCACTTTTATAGAAAAAAAATAAAAAATAGGCATGATCTCCACGTGACAACCGCATGCTACCGATGGTGATTTATCAAGCACTATAACCGCATCGTTAGCTCTCAACTTACATGTGATTTAACCATAAAATCATATTCATTTAATACTACTTAACTAACAAAAGTTAGGATGGCCGAGTGGTCTAAGGGACCAGACTCAAGATCTGGTCCTCRTGAGAGGGCGTGGAACTCATTTTTTTCGGTCTCTCCCTGCCAAAAATTTTTCTTTTTATTATTATTATTTTATTATTATGAGACATACAGTTGATTTTCCCTCCCCCAGGGCTCACAACTGAATTTTCTCTCTCCAAAATTTTCAAATGACCTTTTYAAGTCAAGGAAAAATTTATTGAATGAAATTAACTAATTTATTAATTGATGTGTATTATAAAGTCTATTATTTTAGAAATTAGAAAAAAAAAGTCTATTATTAGAGTACCATTTCAATCTATTTAGAAAGATAAGTTTCACACATCAACCAAAATTTTCAAAAAAAAAAAAATCATATCTAACTAAAAAGACCTATTACCAGCTTTTCAGCATAGCTCAATGTTAAAATAATAATAATAATAATAATAATAATAATAATAATAATAATGAAAGTCTTGATGTGCTCGACTTTTTTTTAAAAAAAAAGGTAAAAGAATATGCATGGTCTCCAAGCATGTTTACAGATCAATTTACATAGATGGTCGAGTGGTCTAAGGTGCCAGACTCAAGTTTGTAGAATTTTCTCGCTTCAAACTTTTCCAAGAATTTGTTGAATGAAATTAACTAATTAATTAATTGATGTGTTAATAAAGTCTACTATATTTTAGGAATTCAAACAAAAAAAAAAGTCTATTATTAAGTACCATTTCAATCTATTTAGAAAAATAATAAATTTCACACATCAACTTCTACGTTACAATTGTTGAATAATTATTTTAGTAGGACGCTCGATGAACATCATATCATTGACCATTAAGTGTATATTTCTAATAATAGAAACCCTAAAAATAAAAGTGGGTTTCCATAAAATAAAATWAAAAAAAAGAAGAAAAAGAAAAAAAAAAGTAAATAACTATCTTCATATCTAACTAAGAAAACCACTCCATTGCTCAATCTCTACTTCTTTACTTCTTCACTAGAGAGGKTAGTTAAGTTCAAATCTTCATTCACCTATTTGTGATGTGATACTAAAAAATAAAATTAAAAAAAAGCAGTCGAGGAGGAAAGTGGGCATAATATTTCAAAAACTGATGGCTAAAAAATAAATCGTTGTTTGGATTAAAATYCGTACCACACACCAGGTGGACAGGGTGAGGGTGAGGAACTMTGTTGTGTCCTTATCGTGCTCAAGCACCACATCGAAGCACAAATTACTTTGAGGTGAGGTATATGTTGACTTGGCAAAGAACTTAGACTCTAGCCTCAATCCCCACATCAACGGTTATCAAACGAGCCTAAACAAAACTATACAATAAAAAGTAAGAATTCATTTCGATCTCTCATTCAATTAAAGAAAAAAAGTATATRAGGTTCAAATATCATGAACTAAAGAAGAAATAAATGAAGAGGGAGGGTGTGTGACATCACATCTTGGCCATGCACCTATAATAATAAAAAGAAATAAAAACCCAAATAAGTAGTGCCCATTTCTATCCACCATTTTCAGCACAGCTTGTTTGGTTTTGAAGGTGAAAAATGGAGTCCATAATGAAGAAAAGCAGTGAGGGAATTGATAAGTACAGAGGCTCCTTCCATTTGGATTATCCCAATGTTCAATGGAGGCATGGGAAGCCACCCACTTATGAAACTTTTAACCACCTCTTTGAACTAGGAAAAACCAAGGTAGTTAACTTTTTACATTACTCTTTTTCTTTTTCTTTTTTTACTTTTTACTCTCTCTCTCTCTCTCATATTCATCATCTTTTACCTTTTTTCTTCTTGTAGGAGTGGGTAAAAGGATCTCTGGAGGAAACAGTGCAAAAGCTTGTAAAATTATGGCATATGGAGGTTTACAACTTGACTAGTTTGCTGGATTTCAAGACCATAAATCCTGAAAAATTCAAGCTTTTTGTCAATGGTAAGCTAGGTTTAATTGCTTTCTTTGGATTTAATTCAGTTAAGGAGAATTTGGGACAATATCAAAGCCGTGAAGGTTATGTTCAAAGTAGACAATATCATATCTCATTGTGGAGATACCTTGGGTAGCATCGTTGTCTCTAACAAGTAGTATCAGAATCAGGTTAAAAAAAATCTAGTTGTGTGGGAGAAATCCTCTTGGAAGCTGAACAAGAGTGATTATTGGTGAGCCTAGTAGTCATTAAGAAATTTGTGGATGAATCTCCAAATCATACAAAAAGTGTTCAAGGTGTCGAGCAAAGACATGCTCTGTGTTCGGGTGACGAATAAGACTTGCCCTATCAAGTCGATGTAGATTGATAGGAAGCTTAACACAGTTAGGAAGACTTATAGAAATGATTGGGTATCTTTGTTCGAGGGGAGGAGATTGAGGGTGCGATAGCACGACACCTAATGTTCCCATAGTATAGCAGTGCTCTATCTAGACGTTCTAGATAAAAGCAGTTGACTCTCGTTGTTGGTCGGGAGTCATATATCAGGCTTTCGTCTCGATGATTTGATGAGTTGCATAACTATTCGAGTCAAGATATATACAAGTGGCACTTTATCCGGGGGATTGCAATGGTGTGAAAACAAAGTCCCACATTAGTTAGAAAGAGAGTTATGCCCAAAGCGAACAATATCATAATGTYGTATAGATATTTGGGGTACTTGACTTTTCCATTGATCATGTTTCCCAAATTAAAAAATTGATTTTAGTAAAGTTTAAAATTACTTTAAATTGCTTTTTAAGGTATCACTTGAATRGTAATTTTAGAAAATCAATTATACTTAAATCTCTTTTTGTTGAAATCACTTTTTCTATTATTACTCCCAAACMMAACCGAAATCTATCGCAGGTTCAAATGATCTCTCCTAAAAAAATGTGCACACAAACTTGTTAATTATAGAGACTTTGGGAGATATTTTTTTCATTCAATTAAGAGAACAAAGATGTGCACACAAACTTGTTAATTATGAGGTAGATACAGAATCTTAGCATATATTTTTTTTAATATCTATGACTGGCCAAGCTTCTTTAACTAATTTTACAGGACAATCACTTAGACCCTTTCTATCAATATTCATAGAGTTTCATACGTGGGATCCTTAATATCCTCTCAAGATGGTGTCTCTTTTGAGTTCACTAATCTTGACTAGATCCCATTTTTAGACCAAAACAAACTTTTGGACTTTGAAGTTCTGATACCATATATTAATATTCATGAGCTCTATCTCAAAACCAATTTGAATTCCAAAAATCTTCGGCAAATCTAAAGAAGGTTTTCTTGTACGTTTATCACAAAATATTTCTAGATCCCAATACACCCAATGCCAAATAGCTGCTAAGAAGCGAGTAGCCACTTTACATTATAAACCCTTGCAATTAGGTCATTTATCTTTTCAACGTGGAATCTTGGACTACTTTCGACACATATAATAATAACTACACTCATAATAGTTCATGGAAGGCTTTTACAAACTTATCAATTTTTCTTTGTCTTGGTATGTATAGGAAGAGAAGGGCTATCAGGAGAAGAAATAGTGAAGATTGGATCCTTCAATGCAATGCTGAAGAGTTCTGTACCAGAAGAGTTTCAGTATTTCAATACAGAGAAAGAGAAAATTGAATCATCCCATCAAGAATTTAAGACTTGTTTTCCAAGAGGRTTTGCATGGGAAGTTATGGAGGTTTATTCAGGCCCTCCTTTGATTGCTTTGAAGTTTAGGCATTGGGGTTTCTTTGAAGGACCTTTCAAAGGCCATTCCCCTACTGCTGAAATGGTTCAATTCTTTGGTTTGGTAACTCTCAAGGTAAAGTTGAGATCTTAATTAATATATTTGAAGTACAGAGTTTAAGTTGATTTTTAAAGTATCACTTGGATGGTGATTTTAGAAAATCAACTATATTTAAATCTCTTTTTTCAAAATCACCAATTCTACCATTACTCACAAACACTCTTAAACGTGTTGTTTCTAGTTTTAAGAGTGCTTTAAATGCTTTTTGTTTGTTTTTARAATTTCTCGAAGTATTTTTTATTGTTGAAAATTTTTTAAAAGTACTACTTTTAATTGATTAAGAGCATGTTTTTACCACTACCAATTTTTATAAAAGCACTCARTCATTTGTAAACACTAGCACCGAAGTGAACATAACTCAGCAATAATTGGCATATATGTCCAACCAAGAGGTTGAGAGGTCCTCATCCCCGCATGTTGTACATACTCAACAAAAATTGGGGTGTGGCTTATCGACTAAGACACTTATTATCACCTTATTAATGGCCGGTGATTTTAGATCTCTCATTCCACAACCATTAACCATTGAACTAAAAAAAGAAAAAACACTTTGCAAAATGCATACACACTCTGATTTTTTAAATTGTCCAGAAGTATTTTAAAACTAGTATTTTCAATATTGAAACCCATTAAAAAGTGTGCTTTATAGCGAAAATTAATACACCTTATCAAGTTTAGGAGTAAACTTTAATATTTTTACCTTTTTTCCCGAGCGGAGATTATTCAAACCTCTAGATATACTTTAGATAAGACGTTTTCATAGTGCCTCCACCAGTTCAACTACGTGCGTGAGAATTATTTATTTGGAAGGATTTATATTATTCTTTAAAGTTAGCTGAATGTGTATGAAGATAAATATATATATATATATATATATATATATATATATATTTATTTGGACAGGTAGATCCATTGATGAAGGTTGAAGAAGTTCATGTCTACTATGATCCAGGAGAGCTATTTGGAGCACTTTTAAAGGCAAAAAAACCACAAGAAATGACAAAGATTCAGCTGCTTCAGATGCCTCTGCCTGCCCATTCTCCCAACTCAAAAATTAGTTTAAAAAAAGATAATAATATCACTGCCTTTTTATGTATAATGCCTAAAGAAAAACTGAGCTTTTCTTAATAGGCTTAAGTTAGTTATGTATCCACAATAAAAATAAACAGCCATTAGCTCATATAATAATTCAGTGCTGTGTTCTACTTTTAGTATAAATTTCTCAGGATGGGCTTCCTTATCAATTTCATTTTATCAGTCATTTGATTTGTTTATATATATTATATATATTAGTTTCACTTGAAGCGAAGGTGAGCGCAAGATGTGAGTCGAGTCGTTAGAGTCAAAGTCACCCGAGCACGACGGTTCACCTAATTAAACCATACCTGACCCGACTAGGCYGACTCGAAGAGAGAATCCCTCTATAGATGAAAGAAAAGATCTCGAACTCAAGGCGTATGGCTTTTTACTATTCTCAACTTAACCTTGTTCTATATTTTAATGTTTGTACTTTTATCTTTTTTTCTATTTTAGTTTTCCATGAACTTAAGATGATTATACACACAAGATTATTGTGGCACTATAAACATTTATTCTCAAAAATAAAATAAAATAAATAATCCTACTATAAAGATAATATTCGAATAAGAGAGCAGATTAAAAAGACCTCATTGACCAAAAATCGGCCTTTGGGTCCATACAAAATTTATACGTCCAAAAATATTATATTCAAAATTGACATTGGCATACAATTAATGAAGGCATTACTTATCCCATAAAGATAAAAGGTTAAAATCTCCCTCCCGCTCTAATTCAACTCAATAAAAATATATAAAATTTAATTTTAAAAATTATATGCGAAACATAAACTTATACATCTAAATTTTTATTTTTTAAATAATCTAAATACATATTAGAAAAGTTTAGAACTTTCGATTTGAAGCACATAAATTCATACTTTTCAAACTCACAAATTATKTATTTCTGATTCCGACACTTCTTTCAGATCGGTCAAAGAAAAAAAAGAGTAGTTATTTTTCATTGTATGTAATATAAAATTTTGTTTATGAATATTGATTATAGCACTGTACTTTATAGTTAATTATTTTAGTAGTTATTTTATACAAATTACACAAATGATGAATCGTGTATCTTTATACTTTAAATTTGGCAATGTATTATTAACATTCAATATGTTACAATTATAATTTATATGTATTTTTAAGTTAAAATACTATTTTGGTCGATGCACCTTCGGTCTTAGTTAGTCCGTGTTTTGAAAAAAATTATTTTGGTCCCCATACTTTTAATTTAAGTTTATTTTAGTTCAATATACTTTGAAAATACTTATTTTAGTCTCTATACTTTSAAAAGATTATTATTTTAGTCCCTCCTTGCAAAATTTTAACACAAATAAAAGAAATATATTGATTGTAGTGTGGCGTTGAAATTGTAATAAGAAAAAGTAATATTAAAAAAATAAGGGACTTCAATTGCCACTTTTTAAGAGTACATGAACCAAAAATGAATATTTTGAAAGTAAATAGACTAAAATAAACTAAAGTTGAAAATACTCTGACTAACACAAACATTTTAAAAATTATAGGGATCAAGATGAACCAAAGCTAAAAGTATAGATATCAAACGAGTATTTTAAGTGTGTTTTTGTCATCTAATTTGGCAATGTATTAATAACATTCAATATTTTACCATTATAATTTATATGTATTTTTATCATTTAAATTTGGCAATGTATTAATAACAATATATATTTTACAGTCATAATTTATTTTGGTACGTTAAAAAGTCCAACATTTTTGTTCAAAGGAAARTCCAACATATTTACATCGTATTTTGTAATTGTTATTAGAAAAAGAATATTTTATTTAAAAAGTATGTCTTTTGTAAATTTAACAATATATATGTATATATATGTTTATTTTATAAATTTAATAAAATAAGAGTCTTATTTAATTTTAAAAAAACAATAGTAATTAAAATTTTAATCAATTGGTAATTAATAATTAATTCATTAAAGATGACACAAAAAATACTAAATAGATTGATTATAGTAATCAATGATTCTGTAAAAAAAAATTACCAACTTAGTAAATTAAAAAAAAAATTAACAGAGGGAGAAAATCGTAAAACAAATTGAGATGTACTAAAAGAAATCTACATCAATCMCTTTGTTGTACTAAAAGAAATAGATGTAATGTAGATGTTTAATATATAAAAAAATAAAGGTAAAAGTCAAATCACTTATTCTAGATAGATGCGCATGTAACATATTCAAGARCAAATGGCATCTATTCATTCCTTTAAAAATAGAAGTTCAAATCTTCATACATCACCTTGTTGTACTAAACGAAATAGGCAGAACGCAAATCTTATTTAACATTATAATGAAATGTCAATCTAAACATATCTCAATTTATCTAAGTAGATATTTCCAACTAAAAATGTTGTATGATTCGAATTTTCATCGTCACTTGTTGCACTAAATAAATATTACAAAGAAATTTAAACTTGAATTTTAATGTTAACCAAATGAATTGTGGAAGATTAATTAAATTAAATTCCTATTTACTGTAGTAAATAAAATTACTAGGTCGAATTTTGAATGATGGAGGCATAACTTCAACCATAAAAACATATAAACGTGACACTTATATATTGATGTTAAGTTTGACCATAAGATGCATTTATATATTGTCAAAAAAAAAAGAGGTATTTATATATTATTAATTTTTCTATATATATAATGGAAGAGATTTAAGGTACTATATTGGTCATTAGCCTTTCATTTTATTTAGATTTAAATATTATTTACGTCATCAAAATGATAATTGATATATATCTCTAATCAAGAAATTATAAGTTCAATCATCCACCACCCACATGTTGTATTAAGATATATAGTCAATCTCATTTTAGTCTTTACTTTTTAAAGTTTTCAATACTCTAAAGATTATTTTAGTACCTACTTTAAAACTTTATATCTTTATGGTGTTAAAAAAACGAGGAAAAAAAAAAGAAAAAGAAAAAGTTAGTCAAACTCCTATCCTAGAAAAAGTTAGTCAAACTCCTATCCTAACCAATTGAGCAATGCATTAATATTAGATTTTCTTAAATGTTTGCCCTAAGAATCACATTGAATGTAATGCGAGAAACCAACCAAAGCTCGACGAATTCCTCCAAAATTGTACATCGCAAACTACAACTTTTTTTTTTTTAATAATTAGGAGTCAAAGCTTTGCTCCCCTATACCTACAGGTACCATGCTCGTCCCAAGGCCTGGACTCGAAAGACATCAAAAAAAAATTTGTATTAAACTCACTAGAAGATTCCAACTTGAGACCTCTAAGCCAATATGACCAAAAGACTCTAAGCTCTTGCCACCTGAAGTGTCGGGGGCTACAACTAAAATGTAATTACAACACAAATGTGGAAAAGAAGAAAAGAAAATGTTGAAAGTGACACAATATCAGTAGATGTTTAGAGTGTGACATGTAACAGAAGATAAAGGTTGGACCAAGTTAAGGAATTCATTTTTGAGAGAAAATAGAAAAAGAGAGAAATAAATGAAGAGGGAAGGTGTCACATTTTGCACCTATAAAACCCACAAAACTGGCTACTCTGTCCACACCACTACCATACATAAGTTTTGTTTGGCTGAAGGAATCCATTAAACATGAGTGGTGTTCTTCCTGATAAGTACAGAGTTTTCCTTCATTTGGAGTCTCCTACTGTTCACTGGAGGCATGGCAAGCCCCCAACTTATGAAAGTGTTAATCAGCTCTTTGAAGATGGCAGAACCAAGGTAATTTTCACTTTCACACTTCTTAATTTCCTTCTCTACCCTCTCTCTCAACCAGATTTCCAGAGTTCTTACTTTCCCTGTCTAGATCTCACTAAGAGGCAAATGATCTAAGATAACACAGCTCTCTCTATCTATCTATCTATCGATCTCTCTCTGTCATATCATCTCTTACTAGTTACTTGGTTTCCTTCTGGTAGGAGTGGCCCAAAGGATCTCTGGAAGAAACAGTGCAAAATGCTATAAAATCATGGGAAATGGAGCTCTCCCACAAGACTAGATTACAGGATTTCAAGACCATAAACCCTGAGAAGTTCAAGCTTTTTGTAAATGGTATGTAGTTTGTTTGTTTGTTTGTTTGTTTGTTACTACCATGCAATTAAATTCAAGAGAGAGAGAGAGAGAGAGAGAGAAGAAAAGGTAAAAACAACACTGGCTTAACTGACAGATACATGCACATAAAAAAGTCTTCCTCAACCAGCCAACCAACAAATTTGAAGAGATGTTATTCATTGATAAATGTGAGCATGGGGCTTCATGACAAAAGAAATTTCTCTACTATTAACTATTAAGAAACACAGATTTTTGGGTATTCCATTTAAACAGAGTCAATTTCTATCCAAAGTTCAAATCTTGACCAACAAAAAGTGACTTCGGAGATCATTTTTTTTGTCATTCAAATAAAGCAAGATGGTATGTACAAACCTGATAGTTTTTCTTTTCTATTTGTGAGTGTCTAGATCAACTTACATGCACTTCGACTATCAACAATCGTCTGTCTCTGCAATATTGCAACAAATATTAAATCATGAAATTTAATTAAACATTGAAGATGACATAATAACTACCCTAATAAATAATAGTTCTTGGAAAGGATTTGCAAAACTTACCATAAATCAATTCCTAYCGACTCAATTTTCTCTGTGGTATGTAGGAAGAGAGGGGCTGTCAGGAGAAGAAACGCTGAGGCTTGGGAGCTACAATGCATTGATGAAGAGTTCTCTACCAGAGGAGTTTCAGTATTACAAAGCAGAGACAGAGACATTTGAATCATCTCATGAAGCATTTAGGTCCTGTTTTCCAAGAGGTTTTGCATGGGAAGTTATAGAGGTTTATTCAGGTCCTCCTTTGATTGCCTTCAAGTTCAGGCATTGGGGTTTCTTTGAAGGACCTTACAAAGGCCATTCCCCTACTGGTGAATTGGTTCAATTCTATGGCTTGGGAACTCTCAAGGTAAAGTTTGAGATCCAAACCTACCTAATCAAACTTCTCTTATATAATTTGAATCAGCAGATGCCCAAACAAACATTRAGCATGACCTCTARTCAAAACAAGATAATAAATTTAGTGTCCAGGATACTTACAAAACTAGTATTTTCAGTTGAAACACCTTGAAAAGTGCTTCAAAAGCATTCTAAAAAACCTTAAAATGTATAATGTGTAGCTGGATACCATGAAATATTTGAGAAGTGTTTYCAAATGCTTGAACACACTTTTAGAATACTAAAAAAAAGTACTCCCAAGCTATAAAATATGCGATAAAAGAGCACCTATTGAGGATTTAGAATCTTGAAAGTTGGTTGTGTATTATATTTGCACAGGTTGATGAATCACTGAGGGTTGAAGAAGCTGAGATCTACTATGATCCAGGAGAGCTATTTGGAGGTCTTTTAAAGGGAAAAACTACCTCACAATCCAAAACCCAAGACAATGAGAAAGATTTGTCTGCTTCAGTTGGCTGCCCATTCTCCAAACGCAAGGAGTAGTCTAAAGAAAGTTGGTCTGAAATATGTTCTGTAACCTTCAATAATTTCTATCTATTCAAGAACTTCTCTATCTTTGTCACTCTAGGCTTCTAAGTTTTCCACAATAAAAAGCACAACCACATATGCCTCATACATCAGAGCAGCATAATGTAATTGCTCATCTGTTCTACTTCTAATGATACATTTTTCAGGATAGGCTTCCTAATTCAACTAGTTCTGTCGGTTTGTTTACTTAGGTAGCATAACAGTAGAACAAATACAGCCACTAGGAAGAACGATATACATATGGACGGTCCAAAGGTTCTATAAATCATCTACTGTAATTCTGCCATAACTATCAAAATGCAAGCTTCCAATGTTTATAACAAGCTAAAAAGCACAGACACTTCAATTTGGGTAACGTGTCCATATCGGACAATCTAACACTTATTGAAGCAACTCTCAATAGATGTGGGTCACACACTAGGTGTACAAAGTGAATATGGATTAACCACTTGTTAGCATAAAAAAATAGACATAAATAGTAAAATAGGACAAAATAATAAATTTTGAGAGCAAAATACATCAAACTAATTTTAAGTATGAAAATCCATAAACTTATTGACTTTGAATTTCCGTCTYGATAAAAACGATATATACTTGAAAAAATTGTAGTCCGTGTCCTAGATTTTTAGAAAATGATATGCCACCATATTCRTGCCATGTCATATCCATGTCTTGTGTTYGTGCCATGTCATATCCATGTCTTGTGTTCGTGCCCATGCTTCTTAGATAACAAGAGTCTTTAAACAGGACACATCAAAACTCAAGTATATAACCAAAAAAAGATTGTTCTCAATCTTCTACCGTCAAAATTATATAAAAGGCAGCGCATAATGATTCAAACCATGGTGGCCATTTACCTAGGATTTTAATATCCTATGAGTTACCTTGGCAACAAAATGAGGGTAAGGCAGTTGTCCCGTAATATTAGTCGAGCTGCGCGGCGCCGGATAAACGGATATCAAAAAAATAATAATAAATAATAAAAGGTAGCACAGAATATCGTCCACCCAAAAAGATCATAAAAATCTCTAAACTAAACTCTTCAAACAAATAATACACAGAGAYAATCGTAATTTAACCTTACTCGCAAAGAATAAGCAAGGAAACTCAAACAAATTATAGATTAATTGGAAAGCAATAAAAGAGCAGAATTGTATTTTTATATTTTGAATTCTGCTCTGGTACAAGAATTAAATTAAAGATTACATAAGTTTCAACCGACCTAATTCACAAAATTTAAAAGCTATTGTATGTACATGATGTAGTATAAAGATTAGGATAAGCGCTGATTAAACAAAGACCTCATTTTGCCGGAAGTCTGCCTTTGTGTCCATCCCATTTTGGCATTCGTCCATAAGAGCTAAACTTAACATTTCTGTGCAGAACTGATCATCTGGTTTCAGCCATAAAGCCTAGTTCACAAACAAGAACAAAGCAAAATCAGACTGATGGATGCGGAAATAAAATATTATGCCTAAATTCTCAATATTACAATATGCTAGAGGAGAGATTGTTCAATTAATTTTTTATCGAGTCTGATTTTGTAACTCTGATGTCCCACAGCACATTTTAAGCTAAGTTAACACAAAATGCTCTACACAATGATTCACATAATTTTCAAATTTTCTTTTCATTGCAGCAAATAAAACTGTAACATTTACAGCGAAGGTACACAAACCAGTAAATCAGAATAGGCCAGTTTTCTTTTTGGGATAAGAAACCGAGAACGGAGAACCAACATAAACTAAAAGAGAAAACAAAGCACAGCCCAAGGGCCGAGGTGGAGGTCACCCTCCAAAAATATCTGGTGTAAGGTCTTCCAATCATACAACATCATGAGGCTATAATTACAAAAGAAATTCTTATGTTTGAACACCACCAAGAAGTTATACAACATACGTTGTTCCACCGAAAATCCTCAACTTGTTTCTTTATGCAGGATAGGTCAGATTTACAAGGTACATAAGCAGAATAGGAGAGAGTTATGAAACTGAAATCAAGTCAGTAATAGCTTACCTTGTGGTAGTATGTAATGGCTGCAGTAAAATGATCCTGCATAAAAGGACAGAGAACTTTATTTTAAAAGCTTGTACAAAGATATTAAAATAATTAAACCAGCAACTCGGGAATATGATCCAAATTCAAACTAATACTAATACCCCACCCACCCAAAAAAAAATCCCCAAAAGCATTATAATCCACATCTAATACACAAGGAAATATTCTATAGAAAGAGTGGATTCAAACCCAATTGCTTCAAAACGAAACTCTAGGTCAAAACTTTTCCAAATGCAGAGTTTTTCCTATTAATGGATATTAGAGAACACTTCCGACCCATTTATAGGATGCTGATTCTCACAGGAATTAAGCTAAAAGAAAATTGATTCAACATGTACCAAAATAAAAATACAAAAATAAAAGGTTAAACATATTTATATACCTCATTGATAAACAAAACACGAAAAGGAAGAGAGAAGAGAAGACTTCAAATATTCTAGTACCTGCAAATGGTAAGTGTATGCAAGACCGGCATAAGTGCTAAGACTTCTTGTTGACAACGCTAGTGCTTTCTCATAGTATGTAATTGCTTCACGGTACATCCTGGCACAAAAACAATTAGGATCAATCAAATTCGTGTGGAACCGGGAATTGGTGCAATGGCATAAAACATGCCGCATATTATGCAAACTGAACCGAACTGTGCACACTACACTCCTAATTGAGGTATATGCTAGTGACATAAGCTTTTGTATAAAATATAATTTTCAGAAAAATAAGGCATTCGACATTTCTTTGAGATAACATGTCACAAAAATACAGGAAATTCAATCTGAAAAAACGACAAAAGCTAAAAACTAAGCCAATGATAGGCAGATATAATATATACCAAAGTTCTTTTAATAAACACTACCACCATACTTTAGCTTTCGGTAAGAATGGGCAAGATTCACCACAGTAGGCTCCCACATTTCACTCAAAGGAGATGGAATGCAGGCCAAAGTTTTCTCAAACCACCATGCAGCTTTATTGTACCTAAGGATAAGACAATACACTTACATTAACAATTATGACTAAACACCAAGAGGTAATATATCAAAACCTACAATTTCTCCCAATCTATGAATTAAAAGTAAACATTTTTATCAAGGGTCAACAACTTTACATGAAACAAGTCTGCAAGCAGAAACTGTCTTAATTTAAGAATTAATATTCAGTCACTTGAAATTCAACAAAAATAAACTAAAGAATTGAGGATAAAAGTACAGGTTATAAGGGTAAAAGTACTCTGCATAAACCAATTTACAGTAGAACATATATCTTTYCTTGCTATCAACTTTCCGCTCAATTAGAAAGTGTTCCAAGTCCATCGCTTAACATATTCCTAATTTTAAAATTCCCCAAGGCATTATGTCTAGATGTAACCTTCCAAAGATTTCCTTCTTTTAAAAGCTTCCTCCCTCACCTGTATTTCAATAATGGAAAACGTCACAAGCTGCTCCCATGATCCTATATGTGTAACTTGACCACATAATCAAGGAAATCCAGTTCTTTCATCTAGTTTAAATGCGCCATGGAGAAGACATGGAGGAAAAAAGAAAAAAGAAAAAAGGGAAAAGCACCAATTTTTCCATCCCTCTAACTAGACCTAGTAAAATGAACCACTATACCAATTTTAGAGCACAAAGGTAGTAAGCCTATTGATTAAATACACTATTCTCAACTTGAAAATCAGAATATGAAAACCAAGTGACTAACATAATTGAAAAGGAGATGTTTTATTTTGATGGTGAACTTTTGGGTCAAACATTAATATGCTTAGGACTCACCCATGTTAGGAAAAATTACCAATCTTCAATAATAAGATCTTCATAATCTAACATATGTTGCAAAATATATATAAGCTACTTGGTTTCTCATGATTTAAATCATTTAGTATTGAGATCACAATACACACACACACACACACACACACACATATATATATATATATATATATATAAATGAACCACTATTCGAGGCAGGAAGCATAACTGCTAATAAAATTTAGTAAAATTAGGAGAGAAAATATAGATACTCCTTCATGTCATAAGCAACAACTCCAAGCTCATTATAAACAAGAGGGTCTGATGGACAAATTGTCTTTGCCTGCATAAAAAACTGAACATGAAAAGACCATTAAGATAGTGACATTTTCAAAAAACAGTAACAAGTTAATAAGGAAACATCTGATCATTTTTAACCAGTAAGAAATAATGAGGGGAAGACCGAAGAGGGAGGCAACAAAAACCAATGGATTCGAGGCATGCATGAGAATTCAACTGATAATTTAAATCAATTTCATTAAATTTCTATGATCCTACTTTGGACATTCACGAAAAATATTTCAAGCTTTAAGATACCAACTAAAAACTAAAATTATTTTATATTCTTGGTTCTGTAAAAATGCAGCTGCAAAGGTACAGAATAAGACCCATCTTCTCTATTTGGATCATTGGCCAATTAAARCATTCTTTGTGTATCAGGAAAGATTGACGATGACTATAAAAATCACATTAACAAACATGGGAATAAGAATGAATATTCATGTAAGGTTTGTCAATCATGGTATGCTATATGAGGTTTAGGTAATACCTGCTCAGCAAGCTTAAAGCTGTGGGTTCGCATATATTCCATCCCAATGTATAAAGTTGGTAAATGACACCTGGAATAAAAGAATATCAAGATCCAATCTGCATAAAGGAATTTCATGAAAATAAGAGAACTAGCCAATAACTTCATACATCTTCTAAAAATGATAAAAAAAATCAAATTTTATAGCATTTAYCAATTAAGAATTGTAACAGATAATAAAGGTAATACTTTCACATTTTCAGCTACCAAAAATAACACACACAAAACCCCTCAAGAACAATAAAATTAATTACCCTGGAAATAACCGAGCACCAGTGCGATAAGCAGACATTGCTTGATCACCCTCTTCTTGAGCAGCATAAGCATTTCCATAACCTATCCAAGCAGGAGCAAATGTCCCATCTAGAGTTGTAGCTTTGCTGTAGCATACAACAATAAATATCAGGAAAAACTATTCCGATTGGAAGTATCAAACTCCTAATTACCAATAGAGTTTATATGATTACTCATGAGRAATGGTTTATTTAGAAATCCCGACAAAATAAGACTTGCCGCAAAAGATATATTTGAATTCATGGATTGAGAAAAGAATGAGTTATTCCATCAATAAAAGGACAAAATTCCTCAAATCATGAGCACAAACAGAAAACTTAAGATCCASAAAGACATTTGGCAACCCTGATATTGTCATCTTACTAGAATTCAGGCTAAGGTGGGCAGATGGATCATCAAGCAGCTTTGGTGTTTACACAAGTACCATGTTCTAGTAGAATCCAAGCTAACAAAAGTGGATAGGTTGGTAATCAAGACACTACGGAGTTCTAGATGTCACTTAGCAGGTTGGCCATTTGGTAAAGCTAAAGAGGTACAGCAAGGAATAACACCGTATGTGGGACGTCAATTCTACTAAGGTGAAGGAGGTGGCTGGTGGAACTTCCACTATTTCGCTTACTTTCTCATTGCTGGGCAAGTTTGAAGACTGGGACACTAAAGTTGTTGTAGTCTCAACTGTAATAAATTTACATAAAAGCACCCAATTGGAATTAATTACAAGTAAGAATAATTACAAAAGAGCAACAATATCTGACGTTCACCTGAAATACTGACGCGATTGAGCATACTTTTTGATACAATAGTAATAGCAACCGACAGCAAACCATGACAAAGCCCTGAAAACAGGATATCCCAAATAAGTGATAGACCTATAGCAAGGGGGAGTCCAAATCTAACAAGAATATCAGTGTGGTCCTGATATTTGATAATTTGGCAAAACTTGTCAAAATCACAGTTCAACCAAGGAAAAATAAATTCGTTCAACTTTCTACGAAACATTTATTTCAAATAAGATATTTTAATTATTCAGCAACTGACGAATATAAATTTCTGATACACAAACCACTCACTTTTGAGGATAGTCCTTGACCAGGTTGGATGCCATTAGATATAGTTCGTTTGAATGTCCAAGCTCCATTGCAGCGGCTAAATGTACCAACGTACTTTTTAAATGGAAGGGATCTTTTTCAAGCAGACTGTCGGTGGAAGGTGGAAAATAAATAAGTAAAAATAAAGTAAGGAAAAGAAGGGATAGTTCTAAWGAAATTATAGCAGTAAATTGATCTATTTTCCTAGACAAAGACAGTTAAAAACTTACACAGAGGTAAGTTCAAAGCATTTCTGATATTCACCACATTGATGGTAGTATTCAGCTTTGCATGCTAAAAGATCAGTGTTGGTTTTCAGAGTCCGCATAAATGATGGATCAGAACTTTTAGAATTACAACTTTCTTTTTCCAATTCCTTGAATCTTGCTTCAGTGATATTTTCTTTGTCATACTGGAGAACAAKAAAATAAACAAATTAGTTAGAATTACACACGCACGTGAAGAAAAAATGTTGCAAGTAAAAAGTAAAATCCTAAAGATAAMAAGTGCACGTCATAGGAAAATAGAAACCTGCTTGATATTCATTACTCATTATAGATGAAAAATAAGTTGCATCCTTCTCACCTTCTTTATTAAGCATGCATAAAATGATGAGAGCCATCCATCTTCAGGGCCAAATTGCAATGATGAAAGTAGACTTGATTCTGAAATTTGATATCATATAAAAAAAAATTATATTATTAATAATCCTATTCCTAACCAAAGAAAGAGGAAAAACAAAAGAAATATTACAAGCAAAAATACAAAACCTGAACAAATCGTTGACCAAATAATGGGATAGAAAAAGCAATACAAATATGTGCAAGTGTGTGTAGATGTATTATGTGTGCATGTGCGTGTGAGTGTGCGTACACACACAATCAAACGTATTAAGTTCTAATTCTTCTTAAAATGCATAGTGCGAGACTTACCCTCATCACAAGTCAGCATGTGACTTTCTATCAGGCACTCCAAAGCCTGGAGCAAAATGGACACAATAAATGGTATTCATTAAAAGAAGGAACCAAATGATAAAAATAAATATATTATATCTATCTTACAGATTTATAGCAACACCAAAAAGGAAGCTAAGAGATATATTGTTGTCTCGTCTTTGAAAAGACCAAGACATTTAGCTGAATTGATGATGTGGAAAGACGTTCATGCAACCAACAGCAACAGTAACTTTCAGCTTCTTAAACTTCAGTATACAGGAATAGTATCGGAAAGCTATATTAATCCAAAAATACCAAAGTTCGCAAAAGAAAGAATCAGATTTACCTCATAACATAGAGGGTCGGCTTTGATAGCAGCTTTATACCTAAGCATCGTTACAAAAAAGATAATAAAAAAATCAGAATAATAAATGAAACCATTCATTATTGTTGAAGTTGCATAGTTTATGCCAAACTATATAGTTTTTAGGGGAGAAAGGAAAAAAAAAGGAAAGAAAGAAAGAACATACACCCGTGGAGGTAAAAATGAAATCATAAACTCACCAAAGTCGAGCCTGAGTGCGGTTTTCCAAAGCTTCATATGCCTTACCTCTTAAAAACCACGTTGCTGCAGATATCTGTTATAGGATAGAAAACAGATGACCCCTTTGTGAAATAAATGATTGATCCAGGATCTAAACATCCAGAAAGACTTTAATCGAGGTTCTTTTCACATGAAACTTTGATTTGACATGATGTAACAGAGGATTACATTAATCTCACGATCCTCACAATCTTTTTCGAGGTACATGCCACTATGATCCTTATTATCAAGAACATTGCCATGCTCGTCCACTTTAGCATCACCAAGCATCGCAAGGCATTGATCCCACTCCTTCAACTCCTCCTGGTCAATCAAAAATTTAAGCAAAACAACATTAATTAAAAACAGAAAATCTAACCACACAGCGTCAAAACACGCTTGAAGCTCAATTTTCATAACAAGTTAATACCAAAACTTTTGCTCCCCTGCCTGACAGTAAATTTAATAGTTTCTAGACGTAAAGAAACTCCTATACCCCCGGTATTTCAAACTTTTCTAAGACCAAATACTGATCTAATTCTCCCTGTTTCTGTAATCTTTCACTAAAATGTGAAAGAATAGTTCTCCACTATTGATATAACTACTGTAAAAAGGTATTTAAATACAATTAAGAGAGGTAGCAACTATCTAATCCCAACTGATCACAACTAATCACAATTAATAAATACAGATAACAATTTCCTCATCAACATAACCCCACCATTCAATCATCCACGATACCATAAACACAACTMACCAGAATAATCCCCAACTTATCATATTCAAAAGCACGCAGAAATCATAGGATGCGTCTAAGATGAACACAAAAGCACAGTAAATACCAAAGTTCYGAGTAGCTTACAAGGCACTTAGCAGCGAGGTACCGAAACCGAGGGTCACGGAGGACGATCTTGGAGGCGTTGAGGAGGTGAAATGCCCGACGAAAATGACGTCCAAGAAAGAGGGCCTGCGCCTGCATATAAATGTCGGCTGGGTCCTCAGTGAACGCGGCGACTTTGTCGGCGAAGAAGATGGCGGACGAGTACAAATGCTTGCTCACGCAGTCCCTGACTACGCCTCTGAGCTTCTCGATTTCTTCCTCCCTCATTTTCATGGAGGTTCCTGGCGCAGAAGAAGGCGATTCGAGGAGCAGGAGAGAATTGGGAACGCGAGTTCTTCCGGCGACTCGAGAGTGGGAAAATTGAAGAGAGAACGAAAATGGGCGGGAGGTTCTGTGGTTTGTGGATGGGCTTGGAATGAATGGGCTTTTTGAATGAGGATGAACAAGGAAGCCAATACACAATGGTGATCTTATTATTTAAAAGATTAAATTACAACTTTGTTTTTAGTCACGATGACAAAAGCTAGTATATGTCTCGATTATTGAGTTATGCTTGATTTTATTGTATTTTAGTTGTCTTTTTAGTTATCGCTAACGTCTTATTATCATAATAGCTAATTAAATTAACAAATAAGAAAAAAAAACTTTCTTTTAGAAGGAAACTTCTTTGCATTAATAAGTGAATGTCATTTGGACTACATTTGACATGAGTGGATAGTTAATAGCATTAAGAAGTTATKGAGGAAAACAAGAGGAGCGAGAACTAATAGCATGCTTAGCCAAACGATCTGTCAATCAGTTGAAATCTCTATTTACATGCACAAAATTTATCTCCTAAAACAACTCCATCTCCAAATTTTTTTTCACCCAGATATTTGCCCAGTCAATATCTTCTTCTTGGTCAACAAAAGTTGGATCCTTTGAGATAGTCCGATTCCAAAACCTTACTTGTGAGCGAGGCAAAGTCGATCCCTGATGACAAGCAATTATCGACGTGCAAAGGTAAACTCAGGACAAGTACATTAGCATGATAAAAGGGTAGTTGAGCTAAAAAATTAGATTATTAGATGTGAAATATATCTCAAGACATAATTTGTTGTCCCATCATTGAGCATAATGGTTAAAATATCTTGTTCATTATCTTGAGGTCATAGTTACGATCTCTCACCTCTTACACCTCTTACATTTGTTGTAATAAAAAAATACTTTATTGTCCACTTGATATAATCTTGTATGCCGCTTATTGTGATGTTATCTCAAATTATAATTTATTTATTCAATCAATTTATTAGGGCATTTAAATAATAATGTCAATTATATGCATTTATTATAGTTAAGGTTTAAAGGGAAAAAAATGTTTGTGGACTAGATAGGTGAACTTATTTAATATCATTGAAATCTTAATTGGGTGTTTGTACTTTTATATAATTTTAATTTGGTTCCTCTAGTTTAAAAAGATTAAGCCATGAGCATAACTTTATTATAATTTTGTTTATATGATTTTAAAAGTTTCAATTTGGTCGCTATGATAGGATTAAACCTCACAAATCATTCCTACACTATTTTTTACTCACCTAAGAAACTTTTATTTAATCTTATTTTTAACAAATCTCTAAACTCCMATCAACTAATACAATTAGTCAATAAAAAACATAAGTTTATTGTCACTCTTTAACATAGTAATGCTAATAACAACCACGATTTGTGAGGTTTTAAAAAATCATAGAAATTAAATTTTAATTTTAAAATTATAAACAACAAATTGATATTATGCCCAAATCACAAGGTCCAGACCAGTATATCAACTACCTAAACAAATTTTTTAAACTTTTTTTTTCTTTCAAAGAGCTTGAACTAAAACCATTTATTTTGAAGTGATTTCATGATTTTTAGATTTCTTTTTTCTTTTTTTTCTTTTTTTGCAAATCATTTTAAATGTTGATTATAAGCGGTTAAATTACACTTTCMACCCTCATTATACAAATCAGAGAGATCCAAACCCAGCGACAGACCAAGCGAGTTGGGGCCCAATCCCGACCTCGGCTTGGCGCCGAGCCCACTTTCTCTCCTCTCCCATTAGGAGAGGTGTCTYGGTCCACGAATCCCTTTGATCCAGTGACGACGGATAGATGGGCTCAACGAGAAGGTTTCAGAAGGCAAGACTCCTATAAATGGAATTACTCGCTGAACCCCTAAAGGTAAGCAAAGAAAACCCTAATTGCTTTACTGAGTAATTCTCTCAACGCTGACTTAAGCATCGGAGCCGTATGAACGAAGTCACACCGGTTTAGGACTGCTCGGTTTTGCAGGTATCCAGTTCCGTGATCATCAAATTTGTTGCGTATTTGACGAGAACCAAGAAAGCTAAAATCCCAGCATCAACACTATACCACATTATCTCAATTCAATATTTATAATTCTAAAAGTTTAAGAAAGCTACCAAATATCTCTACGTCATGGCGAACCCTGAAATTATATATATTTTCAATCTAAAGATGCATTCAAACTTGTAATTTCACATAAAATCTTCATCCTATTGGGGTAAATTTTTGGGACCAGTTTCAAATTATAGCCRCAAAATTTTATTACACGATTTTTGTATGGCACGATGAAGGACAATAGTAAATGTTTTATTAGGAAAAAAAAAAACCCTAATAGACTAAATTGAATTGAGRTTTAAATACTATTTTTATTATGTGTACTTTTTTATTTTTGTTCATTTTAATTTTATACTTTAAAAACATTAATCAAAAGTACATTTTAATCTTATACTTTAAAAATTTGTATGCAGTTTATATGCAGTTTCAAACTTAGTTCATTTTAAAATTCGTATGTAGTTTCAAACTTAATTCAACTTAGTTCATTTTAAAATTCGTATGTAGTTTCAAACTTAATTCATTTTATTCCGTGTACTTTTAACATTTTAATCCATATACTTTAAAACAGCGACCAATTTAATCCCTATTTTAAGTGTTAACACAAATCTTATACACAATGAAAACCATTTAATAAGAACTGAGATAAAAATGAAAATGAAGCAACAAAATTGGTCAYTTTTTTAAAATACAAAGCCAAAACAGACGTTTCGAAAGTACAACGACTAAAATGAACAAAAACAAAAGCATGAACCAAAGTCGAGAGTACATTGMCGAAAATAGTCCTGAATTAAAATTGAAGATTGAAGCAGGAGGTGGACTAAAAATGTAATTTTAACTGTTATAAATATGAAGTTCACATCATAAAACAACTTAACAACATATGAATGAATATAAGGGTTCATCATCATCATCGTCATAAGCACATCATGAATTCTCATAGATCTCAAAGGGGGCTAACAGACTAAAATGGAGGACATTTACCATAGAAACCACAGCTAATGATTGACAACAACAGCCAACCACGAACCAATCATGTGGCCGAGGAACCCTTCTGTAATACAGCAAAGATCGATCGTCTGGGGGATATCTTCCTTTTTCTTAACCTTTTTTTTGGGTCCTGGTCTCTCTTCCAAAAAAGAAAAAAAAAAAAAGAAGAAGAAGAAGAAGAAATAGTACAGTACATGAAATCCAAAATCATCCCGACATATTACCGAAGTTAGCTCGAGCAACATTTGATTCTGTTTAGACCCGATTCGTCTTTGATGTTTATTTTCTCCCCTTGGGCAGGGACAGAGGAGGCAGATCCATTTTCTCCGCCCTCAACGGCCTTCTTGCTTACGATGTGGTAGATCTGAGTGAGGACCTCGGCGAAGGCTTTCTCGACGTTGACTGCTTCTAGTGCAGAAGTTTCTATGAAGTAGAGTGATTCCCTCTCGGCGTAGGACTTGCCATCTTCGGTTGGAACAGCAACAAGGTGGCGAAGATCAGATTTGTTGCCAACAAGCATTACTACGATGTTGGAATCTGTGTGGTTCTTCAGTTCTTTTAGCCACCGGTCCACATTCTCAAATGTTGCATGACGAGTGACGTCGTATACAAGGAGTGCACCGACAGCTCCACGATAGTAGGCACTGGTGATGGCACGGTACCTATAAACACAGAAGCCATGCAGATCTGAACAACTAATTTTAACATGAGATGGAGATTGTAAACTACATCATATAATCAGTCTACCAGACTTGTATTGATGAAGAGATCTTTCCAACTAATTTATAAGAGAATCGTAACCCAGTTTCCTACAGGATCACATCACCACAGGAATTTTAATTTCATAATCAACATTCATAGGCATCATTACATGTATAGAGAAAACAAAAGTAAAATCATGGTTAACCAAAAGCACATCTTGTACTGCAGATCATTCTATTTCTATTATCAGATGCTTATTCTGTGGAGGGGGTGTTAAGAGTGCAGATTCATAATTATCATGGAGTGGCGCCATTTTTTCTTCTGTGTTTCGGGGAAATCCAGTACATGAATAGCATATAGGCAAGTAAATGCCACTCCATATAGCAGGTTCAGTTTTTTTCAGAGATAGCTAATTTGACAAGCAATAAAAAATCATAATAGCGAGAATACAAGCCCGAGAACCTATGACAACGTTCCGCACTCACTCGACGATTCCTGCCCGTGTCACAGTTTCTATCATTTTATAAATTGTACAGAAATGACATAGTTTCTCTGGTTGGTAGGAGATTCTAAACTACTTCTAAGTAATGACAGCACCAATTCGAGCTCTCTAAAAATAGGGAATCAATATCTCTGACCGTGTTCAATGTCCCTGCCGACCCAGGTCATAACAGAAATTTCATTGACATCTTTGTTTTATTTTTGCCTCCTTAGGCATTGTTAAACAGAAATCAGAAATCTGAGGAGGTACAAATACAACGCATGAAAGAAAATTTTAATTAATTCCCCCCCGGAATACAGGAAATGAATTCCTGTAGAAGGAAGCCGAATAACTTTATACTTTTCTCGGGGCAGAGGGGRAAGAATAATGCGAAGAATCAAACAAACTTCCTGTTGCTACTACAAATTGTAAAAGATTTGAAAAGGAGATGGCTCAAAGCACACGATCCAAGGAACAGAATCCGCAAGTCTTCCTCAACAATAATATCTCCGTGTCCGCTCGGATAATTCCAAGTTCCCAACTACTTCATTAACATCTACTAAATGAATTCTTCACAAAGAAATGCTTTCTGAATCTAAGATTTTCCTACGTCATCGACCAGAGTGATTTGATTACTCATACAACTACGTAGTAAGAAGAACAAGCCTCCACATCAGAGTAAGACGACATCAAAACCGACTCCGCGAGCACGAAAACACTCAATTAAACCAGAAGAACCCAAGATTAAGAAGAAACCACAGTCGGTACCGAACAGATCTAGGTTATTACATACCTCTCTCAAACCGGAACACGCTAAACCCCAGAAATCAGAACAGTTCCATCTCAGAAAAACAGCAAGCAACCAGAATCGAAAACTTAAAGCAACTCATGCGAATCAAGGGAAGCAAACAAGAGAAATCCAGAGGAGAAAACGAAACAGAAAAAAGAAACAAAACCTCTCTTGGCCAGCAGTGTCCCAAATCTGAGCTTTGATAACTTTACTATCGACATTCAAGGTCCTGGTGGCGAACTCAACACCAATGGTGGATTTGGACTCGAGATTGAACTCGTTCTTGGTGAATCTGGAGAGCAAATTGGACTTGCCGACGCCGGAGTCCCCAATGAGAACCACCTTGAACAAGTAGTCGTAATCATCATCGGCTCTGTAGCCAGCCATTGTTGCTCCGATTTGGGCTCAAAACTTTACAAAGAAGAAACAGCGGAGGGGAGAGAGAGAGAGAGAGTTACTGCGAGTAATGGAAGGGAAAATTTTTGATGGAATGCAGCGCTCGAGTGGGAGGGAAGTGTGTGAAATCAATAAAAAAAAATGGAGAGAAAAAAAAGCGCCGAGAAAGAATGATGTTTCGGGGCAAACAAAATTAAAATAATAATAATAAATAATAAAGGAGCAGTGTGAGGGAAGGTCCATGGTTGCTTATCCTGAGCCTGCACGCTCCTTTGATCCAACGTCTCTCGTTTTTTTGATTCGGGAAAAAATCAATTCTTAGCCTTTGAAGTTGGTCGAGTTAATGAACTTGATTTGTTTTAAAAGAATAATAAACATTTGAGTTAATGGTAAAATTTCTCGAGAAGATGCGGATTCAGTTCCCGCTATTTGTCTAGGATTATGATAATGAGTTTACGGTGGATTTACAAGGTACGATAACTTATATGTTGTCATATATCTCCTTGAATCTAGGAACTTTTATCGACATGGGCGTAAAAAGGATATAGATGAATGATGTTTCTTTCRACTTTTGAAGCGTTATTTTAATTTGTGAACTTTAGAAAGATAACTATTTTGGTTTGTCTTGAGCAACTTGTGTGACTTCAATACATGTCTGTCTCAACATGTTAATATTAATGCACGCTCAAATCCACGTTCTTYGCTTTGAGAGATGCATTTTTCATACTAATTAACGTGTTCAATGACCAACTATGCTTTTCATTACTKTTTTCTAATTAGGAATTCATTGGAAATACTTCATACAATTTTGTTAAAGCAAAATAACATAATGATTATATTGGTTGTATTTTTATTAATTTCATAGACTAAAGTAAAGTTAATAGACTAAAGCAAATGTGTTTAAAAGTTAACGGACCAAAATAGAATATTCTGAAAAGTTTATTGACTAAAACGAGATTTAAACCTAATTAATTTTTATTATAAGTTTTCCTTCAAATTGAACTCATGGCATTTTGATTAGAGATAGGTGTTTTAACCACTTGAGTTATGTTCGGTTTGACTATTTTTAATAGTTAATAAAATAAAAAAGAGTAAAAATTTTAACTATAGCTAAGTATAACGTTTAACTACAGTTTGAGGACTAAAAATAAAATTTTAAATTTAAAGACAAACTATTTTGTTTTCGTTTTTATTTTTATAACGTAAATTTATAAACAATATTTCCACCATGTATTTTATTGTTTTGTAGGAAAAAAAAGTGTACAAACCCATCGAGACAATGCCCAAATATAGCTAAAAAACAACCAACATGACTAGAAGAATAGGTAAGTAGCTATAAAAATGTTCATAATTAGCTATCAATATTTAAATTGTTTGAGATCAAACCAACATTTCATACAGTAATTTATAATTAATACATGCTACACCTCTCAATAACCCGATGAATTAAAACTTCTGGTACCCTACTATATACAATAAACTCGAGGACTTCTAAAACCTAGAGAGACAATATTGGAGGGAGAAATAGCTCAAATGTTGTAGTAGGATTGAAAAAAGAAATTTATAATTGATAATACATTAAAAAACAAAATTTATTTGAATTAAAATACTATTTTATTCCTTGTACTTTCAGTTTTCGTTTATTTTAATCCCTATATTTTTAAAATATTAATTTTAGTCTCTGTACTTTCAAATTTTGTTAATTTTATTCTTCATTTTGGTCTTTGTACTTTATGGTCACTTCATTTTATTTTTTAATCTTATTCCTTCTATCACGATTTCAACCGGACGCTACATTCAATATATTTATATTGAAATGTAACTATGACTTTATTAAGCGATTTATGTACTAAATATATATATATATATATATATATATATATATATATATATATTAAGCGATTTCTATTATGGGTAGAATTTGTGGTAAAAGTTTGAAAATATGGGCCAAAAATACCATTATTTAAAAGAACACAAAAAAAAAAACATTTTGAAAACATGGAAAAAATGAATCAAAGTTGAAAGAATAAAGACAAAAACGAACTTTTTGAAAATACATGAGTAATATGAACTAAAACTTATACATACACCAAGTATTTTAACCTATTAGTTAAAGTGTTTGGACCAATAAGTGATTTAACACTACATTATAATATGAAGTCCATAATTCAAACTCTTGTAATTTTCATATTAAAAAAGTTGGATTCCGACATGAAGTTTAAAAAAACCACTTCTTGTCGTGGAAAAATAAAAAATGGCCAAATTTAATTAAATTATAGAAAAGACAAATTACACTTGTTTTTCATATTTGCATTTATTTATTTAAAACATAAAAATTTAGAATGAATATTGCATCTTGTGAAATTAAAAACAAAAGTCTATCAAGGGATGAAATTGTAATATTTTTAAACATTTAGAATGAATATTGCATCTGATGAAATTAAAAGTTTTAACATAAAAATTAATAGGTAAAAATGATAAATTTCCCATTTTATTTTATCTCTCTCCCTCAAACGATTTTTTATTTTTATTTTGATTTTTATTTTTTTGGTGGTTTACTTCCTAATTACTCCAACAATAACATTCTCTGTACTTTAATAACTGTTTCATAACGGTCTCCAAATATTTAGAAATCACGTTTTGACCCCTTTAAATATTCTATTTTACATTTTCAGAACGTCCCCAATCTGAAACAAAAGGCGCGCTCTCCAGCTTCGTCTTCTGCAGCACTCCTTCTTCGTCTTCGTCTTCGCCGACAAGTTTCTCTTCTCCGATCGTTTCTCCGATGCCGATCTCCGCCGCTTCTTCTTCTTCTTCCTCCTCCTCCTCCTCGTTTCTCGAATGTACCAGTCCGACGAGTCCGAGCGTTCAACTCGTATCGAAATCGGTATCGGATCGGCTTCTCGGCAAGTTCTTCGACGCCTCGCAATTCGACTTCGATTACGAGCAGAGTAGCTTGTGGTCTCCGCCAATTCCGAGGCGAGTGTTTTTGGATTCGCCGGCCGAAGTTTGCTCCGGCTACGAGGTTTTCTCGAAGCTCGACAGTGCGAAGAAGGCGTGGAGGAAATTCGTTATCTGTTTCAGAGTAAGTGCTCGCGAATCGCGATCGTATTTTAATTTACTCATTATTGGTTGCTAGGTTTCATTTTCTAATTGGTTTCGGAATCGCCTCGCTGTAATTTAAAAGACTCTGAGGCAGAGGCAGATTTAATTAGGATTGTTTGAGAAACGCGTGAAAAGAATTGCGTTAAATTAAATGCTTAAATCGAACGTATTCGCGGATAAATTAACTTTAATCAATCGAGCGAGAAATCAAAGAGGAAAACAAAGAAAACGGAAAATCTACATTTACTTTCCTAATTTCCAAAGTAAAAAGTTAGAATCGTAGAAACCGTTATCTCTTTATTGTTTATGAGCATGATTTCGTTTTCTGTTTACACTGCAATCTTTAAAATTGTATTAACTGTATTCTTGTGTTCATATCCATGAAGATACGGAAATCATCATGTTTTAATGGTATGATGTTAACTAGAAAATTGTGGTGTTTAATGCAGGGATTTTGGTGTTCTTGGAATCCATGATTCCACCTTACAACTTTGTTGAGTGACTCTCCCTCTCCAACTATGATATATGGCTGATTCATAATGATTCAGGAAAAAAGGAAACAGAAATTAGTTTTTTCTTTTGAGGATTCTGTTAATTGTATTCTTATTTAGTACCATTGAAGAAAAAAGAAAAAGAAGAAATCAATACTCACTTCTATTTGCCATAAAAACTGGGGCAAAAAAAAAGGAAGAATATTCACATTATTTGGCTTCTCCCTTTTCACTGTGTAGAATTTGAATTTGGTATATACAGCGACCCTTCAATCTCAGACATACTCAGTCCTGCAGCTGCCATGGGGATATTTTATGCAGAAAAACAAAAGGGGAATTTCAGACTCTGCAAACTGTCTCCGTGCAGGTAAGGTAAAGCCACAATATATATATATATATATATGTATACATTCCTTTACTTTTGGATAAGCTAAAGAACACAAGGAACCAACACCAAGCACTGCTTTTGCTTCTTTTTCTGATTTCAATCCTCCTTTAATTTTGTCTCTTGTAAGCTTCAATTTGATTCCTTTTGTTCATCATACATAAATGTGACAGGTGCTCTTTCTTAGTAGCCATTTCAGGGGTTCTTTTTTTTTTCCTTCCTGTCTTCTCACTTTTATGTTCTCTCTTTCATTCTTCCATTCAATTCACAAATCGTCTTTCCTAGCTCATTTCTGATATTGTAGTCTATTTTTGCTATAATAATTCAATTCAATTCACAAATCGCCTTTCCTAATTCATTTCATCCTTCAATTCAATCCACAAATCGCCTTCCTAGAATTCACAATCCTAGCGCATTTCATTCTTCAATTCAATTCACAAATCGCCTTCCTAGAATTCACAAAATGCTACAACCAAGAGTGAGAAAATGGTTAAAGGGGTGAGAGGAGATTTTTTTTTTCAAAAAATAAATTAAATAATTGTCAAACTTTTTTTTTACTATACCTCTTCATCTTCAGAGCGAGCCTTTTTTTTTTCTTTTTCTTCTTTTTTTCATGAAAATAATTGGCAGTAAATACTAAACATTGTCCACCATTGAACAATTGAAAACTTATTATTTTAAAAAATATATGTATTTATTTGTTTTTACATTTCTCCCTTGGTTGTCAACTATAGTAAGAGGTCAATTTTTTTTATTGGTCTATTTTTATTGTATTTAGTAAATAAATAGATTACACTATCATTTTTGAGCTATTAGAAATACACCATATGAAAGAGTCAATACAGGAGTTCTAGGTAAGCATGTATGAATAATACTTAGGCACTCAGTCTTGTTACTAATCTCCACTAAAATATTTTGATACATAGGAAACACGAATAGATGAGATGCTTTTTAAGTTTTGCCCGGTATGGAATGAACTTATAATCATGGAATCGACTCGATCATAAGGATTATAAGTTCATAACCCTAGTCCATTCCATTTTGGGCGGAACAGATCTACTAATTCTCTTTGATTCCAGTTAGTAAGAGGGATCTAGAACTAAGAAACAGATTCTAGAAACTAAACTAAAAAAAGGGTATCCTGAGCAATTTCGAAGTGTATTACCTTAGCAATTTATACTTGTGAGATGGTAGATAATGATTATAGTTATTGGTTTTTTTTAATTACACCTAATTATGTCAATTTTGTCTTTTTATTCTAAAAATTACAATTTCATTTATATAATTTAGCTTTTCAATTACAGCACTTTTGACATAGTTAATATTAAAGTATATATGTTCAATTAATAGGTCATAGGCGAATCTATATCTCACAACTAAAAAAAATTATATATTAACCACGAACATTATATTAGTCCACACATTTATTTTGCATTGCATTTAACACGTTTCCAGGATCCTACTCCCTATGGGAAAATGAGGAGCTTTGAACTCAGACGAGTATTATTAATCCATACAAATAATATTAAGAAAACGTGCAAAAATGTAATAAAAAATTGATATTTTGAAATTTGAAATTTGAACTGTTAACTTTCAGTGGGCAAATTACAATGGCCTGATACAAGGGGCCCAAATCACATTCTTTGACGACTGAGGTCCAAGGCCACCTTCATTTAGGCTTTCATAAAAATAAGTATAGGATTTTTCTTTTTTTCTTTCTTTTTTTTTTTAAATAAAGGTTACTTTATTCTCATTATTAAAATTATCCCTTTTTCATTTTTTTTGAGAATTTAAAATTATCCCTCGAATTATACTAATTATCGTTGAAACAGATATTGATTGAATTACAAATGCTCCTTTATACTTTTATCATTACCAAAATTATTTATTGAACTAAATTATCATAGAAAATAAATTATAGGATAATAAGCAATATTAGTGTAATCATTAAAATCTTTTAAATTATAATTATTTATTTTCCAAATGGATCTAAATAAGACACCTTATGGTCTATCTACTAATGTTTTGTTGTCTTTTCAAAATGATATTTTTATCTACTAACATTTTTTTTCTTTGTTTTTAATATATTTTGAAAATAATTTTAATATTTTAGCCAAATTTTGAAAGAAAAAAAAACTTTCAACCATATAATCTGTAAACTTTTAAAATAAAAGTGTTTGCCAAATTGGATTGGACTTTAAATTCTAAAGACTCGCGAGAGTGATGGATAGATGAATATATTATCTCTCATCACACATAATTACAGAATACTTATCTATTTAAGAATGAATATTTGAAACTACTGAAGTTTTTTTTAGTACAACATCTTGGGGAGGGAATTCGAACTCGCAACCTCATAGTTTGAAGTATATGCTAATTACCATTGAAATATGCTCGTTTTAGTGAAATTACTGAAGTTGATTGGTAAAAATTAAATAGTATGATTTGACGACTAGATGTCTGCTTAATCAAATATTGGAAATATGTAGTATATTTGAAACACAACACAAAACATAGTAGATATAAGGTACAAGTTGCCAACTTTAACATAATTCAACTGGTTAAGACATATTAAAAGGTTTGAACTTCAAATCTCTACTCTACATATTATTGAATTAAAAAGGGTTTAAAAAATAATTTAAATTTATATTAAACAATGGAAGTTTGTTTCATTTATAAAATGGAAGACTAAAATAAAATATTAAAATAAAAAAAATAATATGGAGTAGAAATTTAAAGGGACAATTGTGAGTATGACAAAAACATTTAGTAAAATTAACAAAATAGAAACCACATTTAATTTTTTCAGTACTTTTTTTTTAAACGGAGGTCCAGTTTTAAAACGATAACTTTACCCAAATGATATACATCTGTAATATATTTATAATATATGTGACTACCGATATATGTATATGATACACATCTTATATATTATTGATGTGAGTGTATGGTATACTTACAATATGTATGTGATATACATATAATATATTACTTATATGAGTATATGTACCATATGTATGTGATATACATATGATATACTACTAACATGAGTGTCTGATATACTACTGATATTAGTAAAAATTTGTGCTATATTTGAAAATTTTAAAAAATATGTGACATATTTTGAAATACATAAAAGATTTTTGCTACCTACTGCAATTTTTTATATTAAAACATACCATCATTGCAGATTACAACATACCATCATTATTGATGTATTCATGGGTTGAAATATGTTCCGATAAGTAAAATAAGATTTTTTTTTAAGAAATAAGTTGTTAGAGGAATTAAAAGAGATTTGACAGCCATAAAGTGAGAAAGGAATTGGGCTCAAGAGAACCCAATCCGTTAAAGAAAAAATCAGTCCAAGGCACAATGGGATGCACAATGTGATGCACAATACATGGCACAAATGCATGACATAACCATGCATTGTGCGGCACCCCCTTCCAGCCGCACAATAAAACACTGAAAGGGGGACAGGTGAGCGGAGCCGCCGCCTTGTGGCAGTAGGCCCCGTTTTTGTGCGGCCTATTAGATCGCACCCTCTTTTTCAACCATTTTCTTTGACYACCGCCAASGAAGCCGCCACCATAGYGCGGATATTTGACRTAAGATGCCCACCGACTTTCTCTGCRCAATTATTGGTCTYATTATAGAGCCAATTATAGAGYGGCGGTTGRCTTTGACAAAAACCTCTTTGACTTTKCAACACYTGTTCAYACTGCCATCAAAACCTATAAATAGAAGTGAGGTATGTCATTCTCTTTCAAGTAATTCACTCGAGACTTGCTCATTTCCTCTCTTCCACGCTTAAAGCTCATCAACTGACTTAAGCATCGGAGTGTGGTCGGCCGACACCACACCGGTGTTTTCTTATTTTCTCTCTTATTGCAGATCCAAGCCCCTCCAAACTTTCGAATGAAATCCTTATCCAAAAGCTCGACGGTCGATTCTCCAGATTACTTGGTTTGCTCGACCCGACCCGAGTTCCCAAAAATTGTATCAACAGTTGGCGTCGTCTGTGGGGACGACTATCCAAAAACAAATTTTCACATCATGGACCCAAAAGATGCCCAAACTATTCCAGAGGAAACTAGGGATTTCGGGCGAACAGAACATCATGGCCAGAAGCATATAGCATCCCGACCAACCTTCCGGCGTCCGATTCAGGGTGCTAGGAGGGCACAAGAGAACATTACGGTGACTACCCAGCTCGTAGACGATACCGAGGTGCCTCGGCAACGTCGAAATAAGTACACCCAAATTAACAGAGATGTGTAGGGACTGAAGGGAGATATGGCCCAAATTTTGGATCTGTTAAAACAAAAAAGACACTCAGGAATTTGCGCCAGTTCCCCCTCTCAGGGACCACCCGTTCGAGATCCAATCAAAGGAAAGGCTCCCATAGAAGGTGAAGACGAGTCCCGAACAAGCCCGCTTCCAAAATTCTTAGGAGAAACTGACCCTAAGAGGAAACAACCGACCCAGGAATCCCCCAAATAGTGTCAATTCCCCCATGGCTCGCATTCCAAACAAACGACGATACCACCAGACATGGTCACGAACAGATTTAGAAGGAATGGATACCAACGACCTGCGGGAGTTCCTGGAAAACCAAAGAAAAGAACATGAAAGTCGAGAACAATCGGATTTGCGCGATCTCCTCAACCATCGTCGCCAAATACCTACTGAGGAACGTCCATGCGCCACATTGAGTAACCATAATGGCTACCCCAATAAGATACCAAACGAAGAAGAACCGCGTGATGAGTCGGGCACCCCATTCGCAGATAATGTCATGGCAGTAGCAATACCGCCAAAGTTCAAATGGCCAACCATGAAGCAATATGATGGAACCAAAGATCCATTGGACCATATTGACACTTTTAGCGCCTGGATGGATCTTCAGGGGGCTCGTGACGAGATAAAATGCAGGGCATTTTCGTTAACTCTTACCGGTCCAGCCAGTACTTGGTATCGACAACTTAAAAGGCAGTCGATAACTTCCTTTCAGGAGTTAACTCGTGCTTTTCTGACACAGTTTGTAGGGGGACGTGAACAGAAGAGGCCAGCTACCTACTTACTGACGCTTCGACAAAAAACTAATGAAAGCCTACGCGAATATATCGTCCGCTTTAACAACGAAGCCCTCAAAGTTGAAGGAGGCACTGACGGAACTGCGTTGACTGCTATCATGTCTGGGCTACAAGATGAGAAGTTTCTTTGGTCATTAGGTAAGAAAACTCCAACTACCTTTGATGATTTTATCGCTCGAGCTCAAAAACATATGCATGCTGGAGAACTACTCAATGCTAGAGAAAATCCGAGAAATACTGCCCGAAGCCCTAAGTTAAAAAAGGAAAGGCAGACCTTTAGGCAAAATCCTAAAAAAAGAGCAAAAGCTGACTACCAGCCTAAAGATCGACAGTTCCCGAAAAACATTCGAAGATATACCACAACAATTGTACCAGTAGAGCATATCTTGATGAAAATCAAGGATAAGAATCTCCTCAGGTGGCCCGCTAAAAGACAACAGGGAAATTTTCCCCGAGATCGAAGCCGTTAGCGTTTATTCCATAAAGAAGCTGGACACAACACTGCTGAATGTGTTCGCTTGAAAGAAGAAATCGAAACACTGATACAACAAGGGTATCTTCAAGAGTTCGTAGATAGAAGAGGAAGAGGTAATCGCCCTCCTCCGCATGATGGACCGCCAGCAAATAGGCAGCCCGATCCGCGTGAGATCCGGACGATATTTGGCGGACCAGCTGGGGGAGAATCTAGTAGAAAGAGAAAAGCTCGGGCCAGACAAGCACGGCGTGAGCCTTATGACCACATCGTCTGCACATCCACATCGAGGCCTTCTGAATTCACCATATGCTTCAACCGTTTTGATGAACAAATTCTACACCAATCGCACAACGATGCACTAGTAATCGCGCTTACCATCGTCAATATCCAAGTACATCGTATACTGGTGGACAGAGGTAGCTCGGCTGATGTCCTATCATTACGAACATTTGATGCTATGAGAATCGGTCGAGAACGATTGAAGGCGTGCAACACTCCCCTGGTGGGATTTGGTGGAGAACGAGTCCACCCAAAGGGAAGCATCGAATTACCTGTCTCATTTGGAGAAAGTCAATGCATCCTTAACAGGTTAGTGTGCTTTTTGGTCGTTGATTTAGATTCGGTATATAATGCTATCCTAGGACGACCCACTATACATAGTTTGGGGGCTGTACCTTCCACTTTACATCAAGTTATGAAATTTCCAACCCCATGGGGAGTAGGGAATGTGCGAGAAGAGCAACGTATTGCTCGTGAATGTTACTATATGGCCCTATGTCCCGAACCCGTCATACCAAACATCAAACCACTGAAATCAAGCGTCGATACTGAAAAAGAAAGAAAACTTTCTGATATCCCAACACTTGCCCCACTCAATCGAGATGAGGATACATTGTCAGATCAGTCAAAGAATCCCAACAACACTCTTGGAGAACCAGCAGAGGCGATTGAAACTGTACCCCTACTTTCCGAAGAACAACGAGTTAGGATTGGTACGCAAATGGGATCAGAACCCAAAGAGAAATTAATAGCATTTTTGAGACGTAACGCTGATGTATTTGCATGGTTACATGGCGACATGCCAGGAATTGATCCCCAGGTGATAGTTCACCAACTCAATGTGAATCCAGATGCCAAACCTGTGATCCAAAAGCAAAGACCGTTCAACGCTGAGCGAAATCAAGCTATCTCGACGGAGGTGATGGAACTCCTTAGAGTAGGATTTATACGCGAAGTGAATTATCCACAGTGGCTGTCCAACGTGGTCATGGTAAAGAAACCTAATGGGAAATGGCGAATGTGTGTCGATTTCACGGATCTCAACAAAGCCTGCCCAAAGGATAGTTTTCCCTTACCACGAATAGACCAATTGTTGGACGCCACGGCCGGTCACGAAATGTTAAGTTTCATGGACGCTTATTCTGGATACAATTAGTTACGAATGCACGAGCCTGACCAGGAGAAGACATCTGTCGTAACAGAACGAGGACTCTACTGTTACCAAGTCATGCCCTTCGGCCTAAAAAATGCTGGAGCAACCTATCAAAGGTTAGTAAATAAGATGTTTGCACCTTTAATTGGCTGGAATATGGAAGTCTATGTGGATGACATGCTGGTAAAAAGTCGACTCTCAACCCAGCATGAGAATGACCTGGCAGAAGCTTTCAACATCCTACGAAAATACCATATGAAGCTAAACCCTGACAAATGCACTTTTGGGGTATCTTCCGGCAAATTTTTAGGATATCTGGTTCATTAGAATGGGATCGAAGCCAATCCAGACAAAATTCGAGCAGTTATGGAGATGACATCGCCCAAGACTTTGCGTCAAGTTTAGAGCCTTAACGGACGAATTATTTCTATACCTCGCCGTCTCAGAAACGGCAGTGAGTTCGGCCCTAGTCAAAGAAGAAAATGGACGCCAGGTACCTGTGTATTATACCAGCAAGGCACTAGTCGATGTTGAGACCCGCTACCCGTCGATTGAAAAAATGGCATTAGCATTAATAGTGGCAGCCCGGCGACTGAGGCCCTATTTTCAGGCCCACGCCATCCACGTACTTACAAACCTTCCGCTGAAACAGGTCCTTCAGAAGCCCGAAACTTCGGGACGATTAATGAAATGGGCCGTGGAACTAGGAGAATATGACATACGATATAAGCCTCGAACAGCTGTTAAAGGGCAGGCAATCGCCGACTTTATCGCTGATTTAACTCCTGGCTTAATACCACAAAGTGAAGATATCCCCCTTGGCACCCATGACGGTCACTCAGCAGATCCAGAGCTATGGACAATCTATGTAGACGGATCCTCAAATGGCCAAGGTTGTGGAGCAGGAGTAGTACTCCTGTCACCTTCCAAGGAATGCATGGAAGTTGCTTTAAGATTTGGGTTTAAAACTTCCAACAAAGAAGCTGAGTATGAAGCCCTAATTGCCGGACTCCAAGTAGCACGAGGACAAGGTGCCAAACATCTGCTTGTCCATAGTGATTCCATGTACAACCAGGTTAGTGGAGAATATCAGGTAAAAGGGGAAAGGCTAAGTGCCTACAAAAAACAGGTACAACAACTATTAGCCGAATTTCCAAAATGGGAGATTCAGCAGATTTCTCGATCAGAAAATAGGAATGCGGATGCTTTATCCCAATTGGCAACCGCTTATCAAACCAACGTTGGTAGAACTATCCCTGTCACATTCGTACCACAATCTAGTACAGAGAAGACCCTCGTTGTCTACGCTATGAATGTCCCAGGCCATGACTCATGGATGTGTTCGATCATTAAATACCTTAATACGTGAGTTACCTGCCAACATGATCGAGGCCTGTCGGTTACAGCGACAAGCAGCCCAATACACCATGACCCATGATGTATTGTACAAACAAGGATATTCACAACCCCTGCTAAAGTGTCTGGACCAAGAGGAAGCTGAATATGTGATGCGGGAAATTTATGAAGGAATCTGCGGTAATCATTCAGGGGCACGATCTTTAGCCCATAAGATTCTTCGACAAGGATATTACTGGCCGACACTACGACGAAACACCCAAGTTTACACTCGAGCGTGTGATCTGTGTCATCGCTGCCCAATAATCCCAAGGATGCCAGCAAAACCTCTGTCTGCCATGATTAGTCCGTGGCCCTTCACGCAATGGGGAATAGATCTCATAGGACCAATGCCAACTGGGAAAGGTCAGACTAAATACGCTGTGGTGGCCGTAGATTACTTCACTAAATGGGCCGAAGCTGAGGCTTTGGCCTCAATTTCGAAAAAGAAAATCACCAAATTTGTGTGGCAAAGTATCGTGTGTCAGTTTGGCGTTCCCTATGCTATCATCTCCGATAACGGCAAGCAATTTGATAACGCCAACTTTAAGGATTTCTGCGGGCAACTCAACATCCGTCATTTTTGCTCCTCCCCAGCACACCCACAATCCAATGGACAAGTCGAGGTAGTGAACAAAATTATTAAACATAACCTGAAGACCCGACTAGAATCCTTAAAAGGGGGGTAGGCCGAAGAATTACACAGCATATTATGGGCCTACCGGACTACTGCCAAAACAGCTACTGGAGAAACTCTTTTCTCTTTGGCTTTTGGTGCCGAAGCAGTCATCCCTGTGGAAATAGGACTGCCTTCTCTAAGAATAAAAGAATATGATCTCATCGCCAATGATGAGAAACTCAGAATGTATCTAGATCTTCTGGATGAAATCCGAGAAGTCTCTCATCAACGAATCATCGCCCAAAAGCAACGCATCTCACGAGACTACAACACCAATGTTCGACAACGATCTTTCTAGGAAGGTGATCCAGTGCTACGCAAAGTAGCACAAAGAACAAAGGACAGTACTGACAGAGTACTCGACCCTACATGGGAAGACCCTTATCGTATTACTTGAATCGCCCGACCTGGTACGTACCACTTGGAAAATCTTGAAGGAAAACAGTTAAAGCATCCATGGAATGTAGAACATCTTAAGAAATATTATCCATATCTTGAAATACGCGATTGGAAATAAATAAAAATACTTGGTTAAACCAACGGATGTCTCATGAAGCATGTCTTTGCAAAACGCATACAAAAACCAAATAAACAAAGAAAAGCATGCTAAACTACCCCTACACCTCGTCCCTCCCTGAAGCGTCGTCCCGAGTCACACCCTGTATACCCATAGTATCATCCAACTAAGAGGCAAGGTCATTTAGACGAGCGACCTCTGAAGAACTGATAGGACCCGCGGTAGATGCCGCCACGTCACCTGCCTCGACCACCATATCAGGATGATTAGACTCGTCTGGTCGAGCCAACTCCGCGTCTATAGCTGAAGAAAGAAATCCTAAGTCTACTTCAGGATATCTTTCACCAACCATAGTGGTTACCCACGATACACCCAACTTCATAGCCTCATTGTGCATAGCCACAAGGGCACCTGCCTCTCGCATCGCGGCCTCCAGTCTGCTAGGGTCTCGCCAATCAGTACGTAAAGCCTCAAGCTCTGCCTTGCATTTTGCAAGCTCGGCCTTAGCTCGATCTGACTCTGCCTGATGTCTAGTCAGATCCTTCCTCATAGCCTCAATTTCTGCTATCGCACGATCATGCTCAGGTTGTATCTGACCAAGCGTTATCTCGAGCTCTGCCTTCTGTCGACCAAGTTGGCGCGCAAGTTCTCGAGATTCCTCCAAAGCTGTATCGGCCCCAACCTTCTGCTGGTGCAAGTAAGACAACTCGGTTCCCATACGATAAACCGACGAACCAACCAGTGCCCAATGCTAAAGAACAAACAAGCGGTAGTAAAACAGAGGAAAACACAAAAAATAAAGAAAGGAAAAAGAAGAAGGCGAGAAAAACAAGCTCACCTTGTGTATCTCACGCAAAGCATGACAAACGTCCCGATCAGGGTCGCCGATGG